TAAAGATATAATTAATATACCTATTGATTTTCACAATACATATTTTGTTTAGGAACATATCCATATGAGGCTATGGAATTTTTTTTTATACAAATGATATAGGTTTGTTTTGATGTTAGGTCTTCCTTAAGAGGTTGAATATAAGAATAGTGATAGCATCACTAGACTAAACACTTATTCGCATAATATTCCGGCAAAACCCAAAGCATTAAAGATTTTATGTCAATTTATGCTAGTTTCACCTCGAAATGTATGCTAATCTATAATATTACATGTATTCTCATAACCATGTCTACAAAAATACATGAATTCTGCATTATGTGTTGTCAAAACTCAAAACAGCCTATAATTGGATAAAATACCCAAAGCACTGCATAATTAATTTTGGCATGTCTTTTTGCAATTATATGAGATACGAAAACCATAAAATTATTTTCCGTTGAATAAAAACCATAGATTTTATATATGAATGAAACGAAAACAAAAATGTGACGGGAGAAACCATAATAATGATTAATTTGGTTAACCAATCATTATACATATTTGCAAACACATATTAATTTTTAAATTGATATTATATCTTAATTGCATTCCTGTTCGTTTTATATGGTATCCTCAATATGTATTTGCAAACACATATTGTTTGATATATTACATTAGTACAACAGAATACGAAATATTTGAGATTGTATCATTTCGATGTGTTTAATATTACACCTGCATTGCATTCATATTCATCAAGATAATCCACTCTTGTATGCCTGAAGATATTTTGATTGAAACTAACAACATTTGCATTATAGTAATCACCGTGGTTACTAAGGGCAAATTGGGTATAACAAAAAAGTTATTAATGATCTTTTTTAATAGATTATATTTTAAGAAATTACATAAATATATTAAATACAATTTTTCTCTCTCTCTCACTTCCACAATTTTTCAGCCAGATCTCTCTTCCTTCTTTTTCTCAATATTTCCTTGACTTCGTTGCTGCAACAACACAACAATAAATCAATACCAATCCATTAAAAAAATACTGCCATTGTACAAAACATCAATACCATTCAAGAAATAAAAACACTACCATTTCAGAAAACATCAATACCATTGCAGATTTAATCACTACCAATGCGACAAAATCAATACCAATGTAACAAAATCAATACCATTGCGACAAAATCAATACCAATGCGACAAAAATAATACCAATGCGACAAAAACAATACCAATACGACCATAACACTACCCCTACGGGAAAAAAATGACTACCATTTAAAAAAAATCACTACGGAAGGATTGGTAGCCGGGAAAATTGAAATCACCTTGGAGTTACCCAAACAATCCTTCCCACCGGCCCGGCTACTGTTTGGCAGCCGGGAAAATTGAAATCAAGAAAACACCCCAAATCGGAAAGAGGGGAAAATCGAGAGAGAAAGGGAGAAGAGGAAAAGGCGTACAACATACCAGAATGTAAGGCATGGAGATGACGTTCCGAATCACAAGCCACTGAAGCCCGTAGCCGAAGAGCCCCATAAACGCCGCCGAGAACAGAACCGTCCAAAGCGGGAAGTACATACTACGGAAGGATTGGCAGCCGGATTTGATGGCGTCGGAGAGTCGGGAAGCGAGGGAAGGCGGGGAGTACGAGACGTCGAGGTGAGGGGTGTGGCGGACGGCGAGGCGGTGGGAGCCGCTGTGAGGTGGGACGGGATCGGGGGTTATGACGTGGAAGTGGTCGGAGGAGTGGGTGGAGGAGAAGAAGGAAGAGAGGATGGCCTCGGAGTCGGCCGGGAAGGCAGAGCCGACGAGGCGGAGGTTGATCGAGAGCAGGAGCGACAGGGAGAGGAGGGAGGAGACGACGGCTAGGTATTAGGGTTTGAGTAAAATATATACAGTAATCAGGTGTGGTATGTTTTTCATTTCCTAAATTACCCTTAGCTAATCTTAATCATTAATTTAAAATTATAATAAACTAAAGATAATGAATTGTATAGATGTTGGTAGCCACCGTGATTACTCAAAATTGAGTAACCACCCTAACCTATTCCTGTTGTAGCTATATATGATGATTGTTGTAGTGATCGGGCAATGTTTGTTTCTTGGCTGGTAGAATCGGCTCGGAAAGGAGAGGAAATGAAAACTGCTTAAATTTAGGAGAAAGAATGGGTAAATTGCAAGATTGGTCACTAGAATTACTAAAAAAAATTATGTTTGGACAATAGAAATATTTAATCTATTCGTGGTCACTAAAATTAGTAAAACAATTCAAGTTAAGTCACTCTTCGTTAACTTCTGTTAGTCTCCATTAACGGCATCAGTTTTTAGATGACGTGGCTAACAGACATGTATAGTCACTCAATTTAACCCGCCACATCATATAACCTGACCCGCCACGTCAGGCCCACTACATAATCTAATCTAACCCAACCCAATTTAACCACCGACCCAACCCTCTCTTCTTTAACATTTTAGGTGAAATTGACCTAAATCTCGCCGACATCACAAACCCTTCATCGTGGTTTGTAACACCAACGAGGAAGAGGATTGGCCGCCGCCAAAGTCATCGCTCCACCGATCTCACTCTCCTCCTCCATGTTTTTCTCCTCCCTCAAGCCCCTCCAGCTCCAACTGACAAATCCGGACGATTCTTCGTCACCAAATCCCCCGCCGTCGCAGTACCCTCAACCATCATTGAGATCTCCATTGGCTACAAGCTCCCCGACGCCATGCTCTTCTAAGCTCTCTGGTGGCGATCTCCGTGACCCCTCTTATCGAACTCTGCCTCCTTGTGGGATTGAATCATCGCTATAGATCTAGATTGGAGAGTGAGTTGGCGAGTAGCGGAAGCGGCTTCAGCTTCCTCGTTTCAATTTGGCGACTACATTCGTTCGTGAATTCGAAGAAATAGAAAGACCTTGGAATCTCTCTTTCTCATCATCCATATCGTCGAAGTTACACGGTGATGGAGGTCTGGCTATAGCAAGGTTGGCTCATATCGACGATGATGGCGAGTTGGATGCGCTGTTTACGTTTTGCTTTTCTCTGGATCTTTGAGAACCCGGATCGCGCTTGTGTAGCCAGTCGCCGTAATGGTCGGGGAAGCTTTCGTTGACGGCCAAGGAAGTGGCAAAGGAGAGTTGGGAAGTCATTGACACGTAAGCTTGGGAAGGGGAACCGTGGAGGTGCTGTTAGAGTTACTCAATAGAGTTGTAATACGATATTGATGGGAGAAGTAAATTATAAAGATGGAGTCTTTTGACAATTTAATCAATTAATTTTATTTTAATTAATTAACATTTGAATATTGTGAAAAGAAGTGTCCTTACAGAAAGGTAACTCCCCTTTTTTGTGAAAGGATGAGTCCTTTCGGGAAAGGTAACTACCTTGTTTTTGTGAAAGGATGTGTTTCTTCGGAATGTAACTTCCAATTTTCACAACTATAAATAGATGACTGCCATAACTCTTTTTAGAAGAAACATATGAGAGATTACTTCTTCTACCCGTTTTCCTTCTCTATTTCATAAACACAGAAGTCTGCAAGATTGCTGCTTCCAGACTTAAAATTGAAGGGACTCCTGGGGGTGGTTTGCTCGAGCCTACCAGCAATTTGTAGTGGGAGCAAATAACACTCTAAGGAGAGTGATTAATCACGCCTTCAATCCGATTCTTTCCTACCATTTCCCTGATAGGTGCAACAGGCAGTTGAATCGACGAGACAAGGGGGGGGAGGAGGAACGGAGCGGCGGCGGAGGACGAGGAAGCAACGGGAAAGGAAAATGAAATAAACCCGAGAAAGATGATGTGGGTCGATTTATGGGTAGGTCCATGGTTCGGTCCGGTTCAAGGGCTGGGTTGGGGTGGGCAAGATGATGTGGCGAGTCGGGTTGCACTATTTTTGGGTTAAATTAGGTTGACTAGGCGATTCCGTCTACCACGTGAACACATAACGGTCTTCATTAACGGAGACAGAGAGAGACTAACGGAGAGTGACTAAACTTGGACGGTTTTACTAATTTTAATGGCTACGAATGTAATTAGATATTTTTAGTGACCAAACATGAACGTTTTTTGTAATCTCAGTGACCAACCTTGCAATTTACTCGAGAAAGAACCACACTAACTTAGTTTTTTTTTTTTTTTTTTTGCTTTTGAGAGAGTTTTGGTACTAGCAAACTTTTTAGAAACTCTCTCTTTCTTCACACCATAGTCATGCTCAAGCTCATTCCCAAACATTCACTATGGCAATTATGACGGACTGAAATTCCAGTGTTAGCCAGTAGCCCAGCTTACAAAGAGCTTACAACCTGTTTGGAAAGGCTAAATTTTGAGGAAATGGAATTCCAATTCTCAAACTTTTCATGATTCTCATGTTTGGAAGTAAAAAATAAAAAGGAAATAGAATTCCAAAAGGTAAAAAGTTGGAAATTCTAAATCCTACCAAAAGTGGTCGGAATTGGTGGAGGGAGTGATGGAATTAGTGGACCTCACATTAATTTTGACTCACCTTTACAAGGAAGCCCTTACTATTTTTGGATTTGAAATCATTAATACCAAGGATATTATTGTAAAAGCAATTGTAAGAAATCATTTCCATTTTTTTCCAAACATAAAAGGATGGAATCATTTCCCAAACTTTTGGATTTGTTCCAAAACATAAACTCTTGAAATGAATTCCCACTTGAATTCAGATTCTCACAAGAAATGAAATTCATTTTCCAACAAAATTATATCCAAACAAGCTGTTAATAGAAGAACAGTCAGCGGTTATATAAGATTTTTGGTTATATAATTTTTTATTTATTGTTATACTTTTTTTATTTATGCTTATTTATATTTATTTGGTGTTATATTGTTTTTTCTATGCCCAATTACTTGTATTTGTATTTGTATTTTAATTATTTGTCTCTATAGGTAAATCTAATAGCCTTTAGAAATAAATACAAATGTTACTTATAGTATGTCATATAGAGGCAGATCTTATAGTCTTTAGAGGTAAATCTAATATCCTTTAGAAATAAATACAAATTTTGATAAAAAGACATGTTTGGTTTATTTAATTTTATCAGGTCCGATACTAATTCAGTCTGGTATAATAACTTTATGTACAATTTACTATTTTATTTAATCGACGCTCTATTTAAATATGTTCCTCAATTATATGAAGACTTCCACCCCAACTGCCCACAAGGCCATGCGTGTCATGCGACGGCAGGCCAGTTCCCGTTTCTAGTCCTCTGCTTCGGCCCCCTCGTGGTCGGGTCGGGCGGGATCCGGTCGTGCAATGTTGGGTTCGGAGCGGACCAGTTTGATTCCGAAACCGAGTCAGGGAGGAAGGCGGTCAAGAAACTCCACAAGCGGTATAAGCTCACTGCCACGGCGGTCGCGATGGTCTCGGTCACAATCTTTGGTTGGGCCCAAACGACTAAGAGTTGGTTCCTCGGCTTGCTCGTCCCAGTGTTGTTAATGCTTTGCGCCATCGTTCTTTTCTTGTGGGGTAGATACAGAGGCATCTATTTCGTCGCCAAGCCTAGAGGAAGCCCTTTGCCCAGCGTTGTGCAAGTCCTCGCTGCTGCTTTCAGAAAGAGAGGATTGGAGTTTCCAGCAACAGAGAGTACTGATCTCTTTGATTTCTTCCCAGTTGGACAAGACATCAATTCCAAGCTTCCTTTTTCCAATCGAAAAAATCCTAGAGTAAATTGCCCATTACTGTCCCCCACCAAGCCTGCGAGGCCTCTGATACCAATTCCTCCGTTTCTTTTGACGTATATAAAGAATTTCTCTCTCAAATGGAAAGAAATAAATCAGGCTATAGTAGCGACCAAACTGGCTCATCTTGCCGCCGGAGTTGCAGCGAGAAACAGAGGCACCCAAAGTGGCGAGGTTGTGAGTGAAATCGGGAAGAACCCCCAAATAATATCAACCTAACCCATCATCTAGAACAAGAACCCCCAAACCTCCAAAACTAGAACCCTAAAATCATCTAACCCATAACACCGCACAATCAAGGCATTAGAGAAGTAATCGCCATACGAAACTCGACCAGACGAAACTCTCACATCGTCGCCGCCAAAGAAGGAATCCCTGCCGCCAGACTTGTCTCTGCTAGTCGTGTATCCTAAGCTTGAGTATACTCAATCTTATCTGCATAAAAAAGGAGTTCATTGTCAGTAGAATAATCAATTTTCGTGGTGTTGATCTTGCTCTTTGTTAGCCATGGATTGATTTGAAGGAGAGAAAAAAATGCAGGAGAGAGGGGAGAGGAGAGAGGAGAGGCAAAAAGGGTCAGAAAATCGTTTAACGCGTTATTGTGAAATAACACCCCCTCCCCTTGTTATTCAAATAACGCAAAAACGCGTTAATCTCAAATACTGCAGCCCCAATTAACTCAATCCAATTTTTTGTTGCCAAACAGGTTATTTTGGCCTAAATAACTCAAAATGAGTTATTTTGTTAAAATAACTCACCAGAATACTACATCCAAACGACCCCTATGTTTAAGGGTGCCAAGAAACCAAGTATTTTCTTAACAATCTATGAAATACTAATTTTCATCACTTATAGAAACAAAACTGATTCCAACCAGAAACAAAAAAAAAAGCGAAAGAAAAGAAAAACCATTGAAACATATGCTCCCCGGCCCAACACTGTAATTAATGAAAAAAAATATAAATATAAATGTTAATCACTAACTAGCGTTAATATAGCGTTCATTTGAAGATTGAGATTCTTCAAATTGATGCATTTCTTCAATTTGTGTATTACAATTTGATGCATAGATTAAATGTATGAATTTGGAAAATAGAAGGTTTAAATTGTGTTTTTGTTATTAAAAAAAGTTGGGGAAATGAACCATAAAAGGATATACATATAGAATTATATACAAAATGAACAGAAGAGATAAACCTATTTGTTTTTATACAACTCAATGTTCATATGAATTATATGTACACATATCCTTTGATTGTATTATTATTATAATTATATTGATAATAAACCATATATGAACTATGTATAAACACTTTTTAATCTTCATCCATAAAAGGATATACATCTAGAATTATATACAAAATGAAAGGAAAAGATAAACCTACTTGTTTTAATACAACTCAAATGTTCATATGAATTATATGTACATATATCCTTTGTATTATTATTATAATTATATTGATAACACTACAAGAAAATCAGCCCATAGAGGCAAATAATTAGAGTCCATTGTTGTATTGGTCTCTATAAGGAAGTTTTAGGGGCAAATATATTATTTGTCTCACTAAGTAAACATATTTGTCTCTATAGGCTAATCTAATAATCTTTAGAGACAAATACAAATGTTGCTTATAGTTACGTCATATAGAGTCAAATTTAATAGTTTTTAGATGCAAATATAAATACTCCTTATACATATATCATATAGGGGCTAAAATACCTCGGATACCACTTAAGTTTCAGAATTGGGGCATGCATACCACTTAAGTTTGAATAGGGCGTCGGGTACCACTGAACTTTATTATTTGTGCACCCGGTACCACTTAAGTTTAATGTTAAGTGCATTCCGTTAAAGTTAACAGAATATTCTTGATATTCTGTTTTCTAAATTTCTTAATTGGTCCTTCTACTTTTATTATTGTAAAAAATCATTTTTGACTTATGAAAAACATCAATTTTTATTATTTAATTGGTATCCTCTTTTGAAAACTTGATACCAAATTAATTTATGAATAGAAAATTTAAAATCAATATTATTATAAGTATTTTCAATTATTATTATGTTTTCTAATAATTGAATTATTCTCCTTTTTTTTGAAGATTTTGATACCAAACCAATTTTTGAATAGAAAATGTACAATCAATTATCATTATAAGCACTTTAAATTACCATTATGTGTTATAATAATCGAATAATTTGCTTAAGAAAATATATCCTATGAATTCTATATCGATATAAATATATGAGGATGTTATATTTGATTCTCGTACATCATTTGGATGTTGTATAATTTTCTTGGTTACTTTCGTTCGAAATTTTCTTCAATTACTGTAATATGTTTAATTCTTTCTAACTATGTTCCAATTATCATTCTTTGGTCTTGATGTATTGATGATCGATTAGATTCTATTTTAACTATGTTTAATGCTACTTCTTATCGGATTAGTGATTTAAATAGATCTTCTAATATTGATTTTAAATATTTATTATTATATTCTATATATTTATTCTTCTTCTTGATATTTGTTTATTATTTTTACTAACTTATCTATTTTATTGAAAATTTTGATCAGTCATTTTAGTAATATTATGTTTAGAAGGTTTGTTAATTTCTCTATTAGATAAAAACTTGTTGAAATATAGTTTTGGATGTTTTTAAAAGTTTTGGGTACCAAAAAGTAATTAAAATTTTGGGTTGGATGGAAAACTAGACGGATGCACATTTTGGTGACTTTAATGGTACCCGACGCCCTATTCAAACTTAAGTGGTATGTCTGCCCCAGTTCTCAAACTTTAGTGGTACCGGAGGTATTTTACCCATCATATAGGCGCAAATCTAATAATATTTAGAGACAAATACAAATGTCTCTTATAATTCTGTTATATGGAGACAAATCTAATAATATTTAGAGACAAATACAAATGCCACTTATAGTTATATCATATGGAGACAAATTTAATAGTTTTTAGAAGCAAATATAAATGCTACTTACACCCATCAAATATATTATGATGTTACTAAAATTAAAGCAAGAATTTTAATTATTAAGAAGAAACCCCAGGGCCGCCGCTAAAACCCTCTTCTCTCTTCTCTCTTCTCTCTTCTCTCCTCTCTCATTTTCTGTTTCTCGATCCTTCTCCCTCTCTGTTCTTCCCCTTCTTTGAGAAGAGAAGAAACAAAAGAAACCTAGTCAGACTAAGAAGGGTCGCCGCTCACCCTCACTCTCGCCTCTCTCTTCTTCACAAAAAAAAAAAAAACGACCCACTCATCTGCTACACAATCTCGTTCATCTCTCCCTTCATTGCCCAGAAAACGAAAGTCATCGCCGATTCTCCCCTCTTCTTCTTGAGCGAACGACGAAACCACACAAAAACAATCGCCTTCTCCCTCTCGCGATTCTCTAATCACTTCTCCTATTTCCCAAAAAAAAAAGAAAAAACGAAACCCTAATCTTCTCCTCTACGCCGCTCTTCTCTCTCGTCGTCGGTAACGAATCCGACCACGACAACCCCAAATCGGCTGATTCCTCTTAGAATGAAGGTAAAATCGACATGCATGGCTTATTTCTGCATTTTTATTAGTTTAAATTGAATTTGACTTCTGGGTTTTGGCTTCACATGTGGAAAGAAGGAAGTGCGGAGGAGCCGCTGGCGAGGGAAGGTTATTTCGTCGATAACGACTAAATCTGGGTGAGATTAAGCTTTGAGTGTGTGTTTTATTTTGGTTTTTTCTGATTTGAAATTGAGGTTTTGATATTCTTCTTCTGGATTTTGATTTGTGCGAGGGGAAAACAGGTTGAGATCGGGCCGTCGTCGTCGTCGTCACTACGACTACGGGCGAGGTAATAGACTCACGAAAATCACGCTTCGCCAGTTCTCCACGCTTTGTTTGTTTGGGGCTGGATGGGACGAGGTTTTGCAATATTGAGGGTAGAGAAGCAGCGACAGCAACAAAGGCCTTAATTGAATATGTTCTCGTTGTGGTTGTTTGATGATTTGGTAAAGTAAAAAAAAAAAGGAGAAGAACAAGCGCGTAGTCACCATCGTGGGGTATATGATTTAGCTTAATAAATGTTGTAGACATAATGTATTCTTTATGTATTTTTTGTATTTATGTTTTTATAGGCAATGTGTTAATTTATTTTAAGAATAAATTCATTAAAAAGTTATTAATGAAATTTGAATTGTTATTTTATTTGTCACATCGAATTTAAAATTAATCAAAATTATGAAAGTTGAAATAGAATAAAAAAGTATTGGCTCAAAGAACCATAGAAATTTTAACATGTTTGATAAGTTTTCCAAAGTACAAAGGCATGTTTGATGTAAAAAAAGTAGAAGGTAGAAGGGCATGTTTGATAAAACATCATAGTATAGGGGACAGGTTACGGTGATTCTATATAAGTAGTAATCACCGTGGTTACTAAGGGTAAATTGGGTATGAAAAATAAATTGTATTAATTAATTTTTTTAATAAATTACATTTTAGGTAGTTACAAGAATCTATTAATTACAATTCTCTCTCTTTCTCTCACTTCCATAATCTTCAGCCAGATCCCTTTCCTTTATTTTTCTCAATCTTTCTGCAAAAGAAAAAAAAAATACTGCAAAAGAAAAAAAAATACGAAATCACTACCAATCCATTAGATAATCACTACTACTTTGAAAAATATCAATACCATTGCAGAAATAAATCTATACCATTACACGAAAACTATCATTATAAACAATCTACCAATATAAATATATACCATTTCACAAAAAATCAATACCATTGCAGATTGAATCCATACCAATACATGCAAATTAATACCATTACATGATAATCAATACCAATGCGACAAAAACAATACCAGTGCAAAAAAACACTACCACTACGAAAAAATCACTACCAATGCGAGAGAAAAAAATCAGATCTAGGGTTTTTATTCATCCCACCTTTTCCAGCGAATCTGTCGACCTGAGGAACTCCATTGCTAATGCTCTGGCGAGCCGTGATTTCCCAACTCCGGTTGGGCCGTGAAAGAAGAAGCTGGCGAGTGGCTTGTCGGCGGCGAGATCTGAATGAGTAACTAGCTTGACACCGCCGGGAGGAGTACCGCGACGTATGCCAAGGATCAGCATGAGTGTTAGGAGATTCAGAGTATCTCTTTCCTCTATTATATTCTTTAGGTTCTTTCCATGTCATTTGACTGCTCGCTGAAACCAAAGCATCCTTTTCCAACTTCACTTCAAGGTGCTTCGCATCGTTATGGGCTTCACGAGAGATGGGGTGGGCAAATGTTTTGCACAGGGGAGGAGGAGAGGGCGATGGGTTCGCCGGGGAGGGGCGGGCGGGCATGTCTCATTGAGTAGAGTGAGGGATTAGGGTTTGGCTATAATATATAGAAATTAATTATTTAAAGGATAGAAATCTGGTGTGGTATATTTTTCGTTTTCAAAATTACCCTTAATCTAATCTTCACCGTCAATTTAATAATATGATGAAATAAGGATAATGAAGGGTATAGATGTTAGTAGCCACCATGATTACTTAAAATTGAGTAACCACCCTAACTCATCCCGAAGGCCAAAGGGAAAACCAAATCCTCAAAGCAAGGATCTTTCGTTGTTCCTTCCCCTGATTTTTGCCGGATTTCCCTTTTGGTTGTGTTCTTGGCATTTGACAGACTCTTGTCTGAAACCCAAAATCTCACGTTTCCTTCTGATTCTAAATCCCATCAAAAGAAAGATAAAAAGGCAAAACAAAATCAAGAAAACCATCAAAGTACCGAACTTTTCCCCTTCTCCAATACTTGGTCTCTGCTCTGCCGATTGTGTTCCCTCCATTTCTCTTTTCCTTTTTCTTCCCTTTCCACTTTCTTTTCTTTTGCCCTCTTTGGTTTCTGGGAAAATGGGTTATTCCCTCTGTACAACTACAAACCAAAGCCGCCCATGCGCGCATCGAATATTAATCTCCTCCTTCTTGTAAAAGCTGCTACCCCATTGCTGTCTCTTCTTCTCCTTCTTCTTGTAAAAGCTGCTTGCTTCTCCAGCTGCTCCCATTTCACTCTCCTTCTCCGCCATTCATAATAGTGTAATTATCCGTTACAAAATCCCCCCTCTATTGAAATCTCATCCTCCCTTTAATCCCCCACCATTTGCGTCATCATCGTAATCATCCTTTCTCTGGCATTTTCTCTGCTTGCTTCTTCTTTTGTTACGCGATTCTTCTGTTGCTCTCGAGCGTCCCGAAAATAGGAACATTGGCAATCAATCATTTCTTTCTTACCTCCCCTCGTGAGCAGAAGCTTGCAGAAAGTTCCCATCCTTTCTCCGTTCCTTCCCCTTCCCCTTCCTCTCTCGTCTCGGTTTAGGGCTTCTTTCCCCTCCCCTGCTTTTCCATCCCTAATCCCCAAAATGCTTATTCCAGGAAAAGCCCTTTGTGAAATCTCAAATCTTTTCGTCTCCCCTTTTTCTGTCCGGTCATTCTGCTTCTAGGGTTTTCTTTTGATTTTGATTTCGATTTCACTTTGGTTCCGATTCGGGAGTAGAATCGGCAGCCTTCCGCAGATGCCCATTTCCGTTATCTTCACCGGCGATTGCGTCTAAAATAGGAATCTGAGATGGGTTGTGTCCACGGGAGGTGCTGCAGCCGTTACCCGACGTCGTCGGACGACGATTCCAAGGGATACCGTCAAATCGGCGCCGGGAAAAGCAAGCACTTGCTCACCCAGATGTCCCTAGAAACCATCTCAGTTCCTTCCCGGAACTTCAGGTTACAGTACTCTGTTTTAACTCAGCGAGGCTACTACCCTGACCAGCCGGACAAGGAGAACGAGGATAGCTTCGTGATCAAGACACAGCTCCAAGGGAATCCCGACATTCATTTCTTCGGTGTATTCGACGGCCACGGCCAATTCGGCGCAAAATGTTCCAATTTCGTCAAGAACAGGCTAGTCGAGATACTAGCAAACGACCCAACCCTCTCCGACGACCCAATCACGGCTTACAATTCGGCTTTCGCAGCGACCAACTCCGAGCTTCACAGCAGCGAAATCGACGACATGATGAGTGGCACCACGGCAATCACAGTACTCGTTGTTGGTGACACGATATACGTGGCGAATGTGGGCGACTCGAGGGCAGTGATGGCTGTCAAAAGGGGGAACAGGATTGTGGCAGAGGATTTGTCTTGTGATCAGACGCCGTTTAGGGAAGACGAGTGCGAGAGGGTGAAGAAATGTGGGGCGAGAGTGTTGAGTGTGGACCAAGTGGAAGGGCTCAAGGATCCTAATATACAGTCGTGGGGGGATGAAGAGAGCGATGGTGGCGATCCTCCGAGGTTGTGGGTGCAGGATGGGATGTATCCTGGGACGGCATTTACGAGGAGTGTTGGAGATCATACTGCTGAGCTGATTGGGGTTATCGCTGAGCCCGAGGTGTCTGTGGTTCAGCTCACGCAGAATCATGTGTTCTTCGTTGTGGCTAGTGATGGTGTGTTTGAGTTTCTCTCCAGCCAAGTTGTGGTTGATATGGTAATTCTCTCGACGTTTTTCCATTGAAAGTTGGTAGAACATCAGTCGTGAATGAATCTAGATGGAAGGATAGTATGCATTTGATGTCTGTGATTTATATCGTTTTGAAAACTTTAGTTTCTACCTGTGGAACTTAACATATTTATGGCCCATCTCTTGATATAGGCTGCAAGATATGGTGATCCTCGCGATGCTTGCTCTGTGATTGCGGGAGAATCGTACAAACTTTGGCTGGACCATGAGAACCGTACAGATGATATTACGATCTTAATTGTCCAGATTAAAGACCTGATTAACGTATGCAAGCTTGTCCAGCACTTTACTACTTGCTATGACAATCTTAGTGGTGTATCATGAGATTCTGACTACTGAAGCTCGAATTTTGTTTCTATAGCCAGGTAACACTGGTGGAACAGATGGAACAGCTGTGGCCGATAAAAGTGTAGCGAGTCCAAGGCAAGGCAAGGGATCTGTTGATGTTTCAATGCGTACAGAGTCAGAAACGTGCCAAACGTTAAGAACTGACTTGTCAGACAAGCAAGGTCCAGCTAGCCGAAGCCAAGTTGTTGTTCCAGATCCACGTCGGAGGCCCTTTGAACTGGTTGGTTAGCTGTCTTAAGCTTCATTCTTTAGCAGACTTTGACATTAGCATGAAATTAGAGTTTGACACCATCTATGAGAAAGGGACATTATCATTTATCCCTATCGTTGTCCAGAATTCTTAGTGTTGAGAGTTTGATTGGTCTCTGTTTTGGCTTGTAACAGGATGGAGGTTAGTGGTCCTATGTTAAGAGTAAAGACCTCAAAAGGGCTCTCGTTGTTATCTGCATGATGCTAGTTGTCCCATGGAGGATTCCTAGATTTCAGGGTCTCATCCTCACTGATGTTGACGACATACTGCTACCAAGTGCTAACCAACACAGCAGCTTTAGGATAATATGGAGGACGAGACGGGCAAGCCATAACCTTAGACCAGAAGCACAGCGGCAGCAGCTTGTCCGGGCGTAAGGGGCCGGGAGACTTCTTTGTAGTACAAACCTTTTGGATTGCTGTGAAATTATAACATTTTCGGAGCTCAACTTGTAAAAAACTCAACCCTGGTTAGAATTCAGTGTAATTAGCCTATGATTCAATGTTGTATCCTGTAACTCCTGCTGTATAATGCCCACCATTTCATCCATCAATGATGCTGGAAAATTTGCAGAACGGCTCTAGAATAATGCTACTCTTCTGTCTCTTTCAATAATTGATTCGTTGATTTCCTGTTTCCTATGCCTTGCCCACAATATGATGGGGCTTAAATTGAGTGCGTCCCACCATTTGGGCAAGTACTTGTACTGAAAATTGGCCATTTTCCATAAATACCAGAAATACAATTAAAATGAAAAAATTTTCCAAAAATACCACATTCCCGAAAAATTCCAAAAATACCAAATTTTTTCAAAAACCGCCGCCCCACCCCACTGTTTATACGAAAACCGCTGGGGTGAGGACACAGTTTTCAACCAAAATCGCTTGGGTTGGGGGCGGTTTAGTTGATCGCAGTGGGTAGGTTTGGTCCAAAACCGCTGCCCCACCCAGCGGTTCGGTCCTATTTTTTTCGATTTTTCCTAAACTAGGTGGAGACTTCAAACGAACGTATACAAAAAATCATGACGTTCGGATTGCGGAGCACAAAGTTATGACCGTCCAAAGTTTGACGAAACCGGAACAAAGCCAGTTCGGGGTAGCAAACGACATTTTAGTGACGAAGCCGGGACCATTGTGGCTTGCAAGATCTCGAAAAGTTATGCGGAATCAAAAAAATTTCGCTTCGATCGGATACCCAAGCACAAAGATACGTTCGTTTGAAGTTTCCACCTAAGTTAGGAATAATCGGAAAAAAAAGGGCAGCGGTTTTGAACCAAACCGACCCTACCCGCTACAGTAGAGAAGACCGCCCCCAACCCAAGCGGTTTTGGTCAAAAATCGGCCCCACCTAGCGGTTTTTGAGAAAGGGTGGTATTTTTGTAATTTTTTTGCGAATGAATGGCATTATTGGATTATTTTTTTCTCTTTTTAATGGTATTTTCATTGTTATAAGAACCGAACCGGATCAACGGCTGGACCAGTAGAACCTTTAAACCAATTATTATAGCGGTCCGATTCATTGCTTGAACGGTTATTGATGGACCAAACGGTTTTTCACGGTTCAACATAATATCAAATGAACCGGCACGGTTTAATTGGTCCACTAATTTAACAAAAAAATGCTTTAAAATAAAATAAGATCATCAAATCATAGTTATCAATTTTATATATGCTTCCTCAACCTTGTTGTCGACTTTCCGTTGTCTACTACCGACTAGAACCATAATTTTTAATTTGAATTAAAAAAAAGGTGGTTTCTTTTGTGAGATGGTTGGAATGATTTATTAGATATTTTGGTGATGATATGAATTTGAACGGTTATTGATGGACCAAACGGTTTTTCACGGTTCAACATAATATCAAATGAACCAACACGATTTAACTGGTCCACTGGTTCACTAATTTAACAAAAAATGCTTTAAAATAAAATAAGATCATCAAATCATAGTTATCAATTTTATATATGCTTCCTCAACCTTGTTGTCGACTTTTCGTTGTCTACTACCGACTAGAACCATAATTTTTAATTTGAATTAAAAAAGGTGGTTTCTTTTGTGAGATGGTTGGAATGATTTATTAGATATTTGGTGATGATATGAATTTGAACTTGTTTATGGTCAATAATAACTTCATTCTTTAACTAGTGTAATATACAAGTCTTATATGTTATATACTTATATATCATGAACGGTTCTATCAACAATTTTCTAAAAATTAACCGTTGAACTCTAAACCATTAAGTTTTCTGGTTCAGCCTCCAAACAGAGCATTTCTGAAAAATTTCCGTGAAAAGTGTGCAGCTTAGCTTAGCGCCTCATAGAAGCTTCTCCATTTCAGCACAGTAATCAGTATCTTTCCCATTAAACAAAAAGGTGTCACCTAGCTAGTAAAATTAACACCAGAAAAGCAAGCTTGTATCAAAACTCAGAGGCATGGGAACCCTACACTGAACTGTTTTCTTTTATGATAATTCTTCTTTACCTCACATGATACAATGAATACAAGGTACAGTGTGTACAATCCATCAGCAATCCAAACTGAATTGGCTCGTATACATGGAAGAGAAACTCCCCCAATTCATCAAAAGTAAATCGAAAGCTTCTCCTCTATGGAGTTCTGCACAATGTTACAATGCTCCAACAATCTGCTTAATTTATCAGCCTCCTTCGTGGTGGCTTTGCTGGAAAATGGAACTTTAACCTCAGCTCGCCTTTCCTCATCTACTGCAACACCATGACTCCCAATCAGTGAAGAAGGTTGCTCACTGCTTATAATCTGGTGAATCGTGTTTACAGTTGCTGGCACATCTGTCGATACTTGTATAGAAGTGACCAGCTTAGTCTGAACCCTCGGTAGCACCAGAGGAAAGCAACCAACATGGATGATCTGATCTAACAAAGGCTGGCTTACATAAGGTGACAAAATGCCTCCTTGCTCATCAAGCACCAGTGATTCCAAATTCACAATGCGAGACCTTAATACATAGGCATCGGACGATAACTTATTGAGCTGCCAATTGAAAACCCTTCGAAAGACCTTCACCCAATTCACAACTATATGGTAACTTGAGCACTCCCGAAACTCCAGGCGAGCACTTCTCTGTAACACAACATGTGCTTCCTTGGCCGCCAATGAAAACCCCATCATCCCACTCGATTCAGTCAGGTATCTAATCAAGCAATTCTCGATTTCAGTACTAAGGTTCTCGAGCTCATCGCCCATGTTTGCCGTGCCTTCATCTAACCACGATACATCACCGGCAAATCCAGGAAGCTTACAACTCCGTACAGCAGAAATCAGCGGTTCGATTTTCAATGCCGAACTCCACCCTATGCTTGGCAGATACGACTCGATCAACATGCTTTCGCTTTACTCCAGCAAAACCAACTCAGGGCAAGGCCAACCTGTCGGGTTAACTTCAGCAGCAGCGAGAATTTCCTCCACACACCAATCCAAAGATTCATTGAATGCTGAGATACACCTATTTGGTCCAGCTTCACGGCCACTCATCTTTTGGAGTGCATCTAGAGATGGCTTCAACCGTGCGAGAGCCAACTCCTGCAGTTTTATGGACTGAAGATCTGGTTGTTGGGGTAATTCACTAGCCAACCATCTTAGTCCTTCCCTAACTCTGCTGTCACTGAAAAATCCATTGGCATCTTCTCCCATGAGAAACACAACGGAGAAACTTCTTACTCTAGACTTGTCAATGGTATTCAGTCCAAGTTCATGAGCTATGGTGGCCAAAGGGTCTGAAACCGTTCTATCCCATTTTCTACAGAATATCAGTAGAGGTAGTGAAGAACTTGGATGTAAGGCCGAGAGAAGGTTATGGAGTGTGATTCTCTGAGAGTTCATCGGGATGGTTTCTGATACGACGAAAACCACAGCAGTTGCACCAGCTGCTGCCTCATCTGGAGTACAAAAACTGGAATCTCTGATGACAGACAAGCAGCACATGTCGTTAGAAATCCACTTTCTCCATATTGAAAGACCTGGAGACGAGGTTAACAATTCTTCCTCGTTATGTGTATCTTTTGGTCTATTGGGGATGAGCTTTGAACACAACCAAGGGCCCGCTGCTGCATGCTTGCTGGGCCCTGGTTGGTCATCTTCTTGTGACTGAGAACATACTACGAGCTTCCAATAGAGACATTTGGCGTCTGGATTTCTCGAGCTGGCTTCATCTGCAATGACTTCTGATGGATTTAATGGAGACCAAGAATGCTCGTAAATTCTGCATCTTTCCATCGTGACATAGTCAATGTCAAAATCGAGAATCTTGCCTGGTTGCTGCACGAGAACAAGAAATAAGAGTAGCATGAAGTCATCTAGAGATAGCTGCTTACAGAAAAAGAGGCAGTAAGCTGATAACATTCCTGTGCAAGGCGTGTGTTTCGGCTACAATAAAAGTCACTTACAAAATTGATTTAACGGCTGGAACGAACACTTGGTTTATCTAACTTCTTAAAAATACTATTCATCCTGAATTCGCAAAATATGAAAAGACAAAAATCACCTCACTAAAAAATTTGTTCTCAACAAAACTTCAAATAAGAATCTATCCTTAAAGTAATACGCCATTTCCCAAAACCCATTCATTTCTTTATCATTAACCGAATATCTACTATCACATCAATTATATTCCTGTCTATCTTAACTTTCTAAAACATGACCAAACACCCTTTTCCTTTCTACTAAAACTTAAACACAAGTCGATTCACAAGACTAAAACACCCACGACCTAGGAGTTGTACATTGTGATAGCTTAATAAAAGCACATTAAAAGACAGTATTTTTTATGATTCTGTAGCCCAGGGAATCAACCGATTATGTATTAACACTCTTTAAAGCGAAAGACTTACTTCTTGGATCCTTCGAATCGGTGGTCCGAGCGATAATGAGCTCATTGCAGCATTTGCAGCCATCTGTCTTTGATGGCGTAATTCCTTACGTCTTGAAACACACCGCTTCCATAACCTGAAAGTGAAGTAACAGAAGTAAAGTGAATAATACAATATGACAATCAACAACAATTTGCACCAAAACAAATTGAGAAGTAACAACCAACCTTATGAACAACTTGAGCTTCGCTCGAGCTACTTCTTCATCTTCATGATTCTCTATCAACTCATCATCTTCATATTCTTGATCGACATCAGGGGTTTCTTCATCTTGAAATAAATTGCCCACCACACTATGATTGATCACAAGCTCCCTCGGTATATCCTTTTCACCACTAGGGGAGCTCTCTTTCAACGGCACACCAACTACAGGTTGTGGCTGCATGTCCTCAGATTTAGTGATTGCAAAAAGAGAATCAGTCGTGCTTTGCTGCAGTACTCCAACTTTGCCTGGCTGAGAATTCGGAGAACTAAAAGCTGGAAGTACGTTCCATGGTGCAATATTGACACTTGCTGCATGATAATTGCTATCTGTAACCATTTCATCAACTTCAGATCTACCAATGGTATGCTGTTTTTGCAAGCCAAACTTTGGTGATGGCACAACAACCTGAGAATCAGGCATTTCAGCATTTATTGCACTGATGGGTCTCTTCATATCAACCAAAGCAGGTGCAGCTTTCACGGCAAAGGTGTGACTTGGATTCTTCTTATCAACGTTGGGAACTCGGATTTTTCTTGTTGCTTCAGCAAGCAATGGTGTGACTTGAGAAGATGGGGAAATATCTTTGACGATAGTAGTTGACTTTTTTAGATGAACAAGTCTGGAACGCTTCGTTGGAAAGTCCTTATCGCTATTGAGAAATGGTCCATCCTTCACCATATATGGCTCTTCGAATTCCTTTATCGAAAACCCATAATATGCTAACAAGTTTTCGACATCTTCCTGAAATTGGAATCACCACAAGGCGCTAGTGTAAGACAAGGTTTTTTCCCGATGTAAAGACGTCAAGAAATAAGCAGTGTCCAAGGTAGGGGGAAACCTCCATAGCAAGCCACTTAGCAACTTGAGAAACAGGGATTCCTTGGTTGGTTTGTAGACCCGAGCATAAGGAAGCAAGTGCATGGGTTCGTAGCTGGATATAAATAAAGCATGAATAGTTATTGATTCCATACAATAGTTACAGTATACTCTGTCTTTGTATTTGCTTGAGAACTTTGTGTGCAAGAAAATACTAGCTCATACCTTGGCAAAGTGAGCATGCATTAAACATGCTTGAAGATAAGTTGCCTTCTTTGCAAGCCTAAAGAAAGCAATGAAGTTGCCTGTTCTGCAAGCTCTGAAGACGAGGAAAAAAGTGAAAGGAAGTGGAAAAAAAAAAAAGAGTATAAGCTAATGATAATTTCATCAAGAAGAAGTTACTACCTACCTTGCAACATTGCGAGCAAAAAGCACTTCAGGGGTTTGCCTTATCTCGGGAGTCATCTTTGCCAGATCTAGTGACAGCTCTGAAGGTTCCACCTGTTGAACATTGATTAACTTAACAAAACAAAAAACAAAAAAAAAAAAAAAAAGGAGAAGAGAGAGGGAAGAAGGTGGGCAGCTGTAAGGAAAGTAAATGAAGGTAACTTACTTTGTATCCAGGATGCTTGTCCAGTTTGAGAAGAGCATAATACCCACGGAATTCTTTTTCTGACGGCACAATAATGCCTTTCTTCCTGTGATCATCATACATTTGAAATAGTTCAACAGATGTTTTGTTCATCTGTTCAATATTAAGGTGTGCATCGAATCCCTCTGAAAATCCTTCTCCTTTTGTATATTCACACAGTTCATGCATGGCAATTACATGAAGCCTTGTCTGAAATTTACATACAAAAAGCAAAAGGGTTAACCAGGAGAGAATTCGAAATACTTTATTATGCTTAATCTTGGGAAGAGTTAGCAATGACTTGGTTTGTTCTGTTAACATGATATTATAACCAATATATAACTTCCTAAAATTTCATGGCATGATAAGGTCAAGCAGACATCATACAGATCGAGACATCAGGTCCAAAGCAAGGTTATTGTGTTCCAAACTATCAAGACAATAACCTAATTAGAGATATATTGCTGCAGGCAACATTGCCAACTGAAACAAGGGAGCCAATATATTTATGCCTATGGTAAATAAATGCAGCTGTTCTGCTTATGGAATCTAAAATGAAGTGTAATGGAAGTCAAGATATTTTTTTTTATATCAGCATGGGAGATATATAACATCTTTTCAAGCCAAGGATCAACATATAGCAAGATTTCCAAACAGCAAAAGTATCAAAATTAATTAACTGCTAAACCGGTATAAACACTGTAAACAAGAAGCTATGATGCTATCATGTCATATGAACCTGGCAAGTACCAAATGTATCTTCAACTTATAGGAACTATGATAAAATATAAGAATACCATTTGCTCCAGCATAGTTATAGCTTCCAAATTGAAAATGTGCTGCATTCTCAGGTCCATCCGGATTGCTCTCATCCTGTCCCACAGAAAGTTGTACCTTCCAAGGAAGTTGCCATCATATGGCTGATCCAGTAAGCTAAGTAGGTAATCAATGGTCTTTTGAAGGACAGACATCGGACGTATAAGATATGTTTCCCTCTCTGCTGTCCTAGTGTACTATTCGACAGAAGGAACAAAAATATAAAAGTAATCAATGAAAGATCAAGAAAGGATCTATCCACAAAATAAATTGGAGATGAAAACGCCAACAAATATACCTTTTTAACTGCAAGCAAACGGTTTGTTTGATTTCTATCCCCATCCAAACGTTCATACTGATCAAGATCCCCTTTCCTTTCTCGCTCCCCTCTTTCAGATTCTGCAATTGAGTATCAATGTCAGAAAAATATTTATCCAATCTTCTCAAGAACAGATTAACTATCAGGTTCGTACTTGAAGGTTCAGAGGTAATTACATGGTTTACTATATACCCAACTAAATTAATGCCATAATGTAAACATCAGAGCAATGCTATCAAAATTCTAAGTCTTAAGCCGTAAATAACTAACTCTTAGTTGCCAAGAAGCTTACCAGGGCACATATCTGGACACACACCAACAGTAAGTCTTGGTATTCCCAAACCCTCCAAATCTGAGACATTATTGTCATTGGTGCGGTCTTCAGCCAAATGATTCGTGGGTACAGTTTGTCTTTGTTTGGATTGCTCATATCCACCAACTGGAACATTTTGGTTCCCCACATCTGTGCCTTTTTCAATATCTTCACTTAATTCTTCCTTGAAGCGGGCTAAACGCTTCGCCTTAGCTTGCATCTCTCTGCACATCAAGTAGAAATTCACAATCATTGAATTTAAAACAAGCAAGGATTATCCTGTTGAATGATGCCGTGAAGCTTTACCGTTCAGTATCATCAATGGTCGAAGAGGAGCTTCCTGGGAGAACCTTGCCAGAAATTTCTGGTGACCTTGTTCTCTTTGAAACCAAGGCACTGGTGTTTCTGGTGGGATTAGATTCCACAGTTGAGTTCTTCAAAGATGGCAACACTCTTTGTGGAATTTGAGAGTCTAGGGTACTGTAAATAGGATCTGATAGAGTATTCAATCCTATTGGAGAGAAAGGTCTGCAAAAGGAAGAACCAAAAAGCACGTGTTGAGATGTAGAAAGGCTGAGATATACACCCTATACTAGTCAATTATAATAATCTTGAAGCTTAAAATCTTTCATACTCCGTTGAAATGGGTCACTAGTGAATACTGCAATCTAAAGCCCTCTCTAATATAAAACGTTTTACCATATTACTGTGTTTAGATGGTATTCAGCACACTTATAAGTCATAAAATATGACTGATGGAAAAGTTTTTGTTTGTTTGTTTGTTTGATGAATGATAACTTTTATTGGAGGATTTTAACCAATCAAGAATACAGAATACATGCTATGCACAGCTCTCTGTGGAAAAATTTTAATACAAACCAATAATATCCATCTCTTTACCAATCAAGACCGGAGTTGTTGTGCAAACTCGCTACTGAAATAAATAAAAGTCACATCACAAAGCCTTCCAACTCTTGACAGTTCATATCTGTGCCTGAGAGACTTCCAACAAACAAGGATGTCTCTTTAATGAAACAAGGAACCAAAAGTTTTTTCATGCATTTGAGAGCTACCTTACCTTTTAGCTTCATTTCTGACAAAAGGTGCATTTCCTTGCAAACTTCCGCTGGCAGGAGGTGATCTACTTTGCTTCTGGAGATGGCCATTTGCAAGTTTATTGACTTGACCTGGGGACACTTTTTGATGATTTGATAAGTTCGGAAAAAATCCTGGCACCATGGACCTATAATCATCCCATGCAGAAGGAACATAAGCAGCACAGCAAAAACAAATTAAACCAGAAATAATTGCAATTGGCACAATGTAAAGAAAGATAAGGCAGAACTATATGTTCTGTCCTGCATAGAAAGAAAAAAAATTAAACATAGAAGTTTACCTTTGCGAGAAACCAAATCTCAAATTCTGTGAACCGACTTCATCAGTAGAATCAGGAGATGACCTAGTCCTTTTCTGGTCTTGTAATCCAGTAACCTTGGCTGCCACCATGCCTCCAGAATTACGAGTAGCAACAAGAGATTTGACAGCATAAGGTGCAGGATCTTTCGGACCATCACCATTCAAGATAGATCGGTTCCCGTTACCCCATGTAGGAGGAGATTGGACATGCCTAGGGAAAAAATGTAACACACCAATGGAGTAATTGGTAAGAATCAGCATTTATGTAAGCTTTCCCCAAGCACAAACTTGTATCTAGCCTTACAGTACAAGGTCTAAACTTCATGGCTGACGTAAATATGTGCACTTACAGCTAACTAAACAGGAAGATTATGCAGAATTACATGTTCCATCCTAAACAGAAAGACAAGGGCTAAGCAGAGAAGCTTACCTTTGTGGGAAACCTAAACGCGAATTTTGTAAACCAACTTCAGCAGTAAAATAAGAAGATGATCTACTCCTTTTCTGGTCTTGCATTCCAGTGACCTTTGCTGACACAGCAGTTCCAGGATTACGGGTAGCAACAAGAGATTTGACAGCATAAGGCGCATGACCTTTCTGACCATCACCATTCAAGAAATATCGGTTTCCATTACCCTGTCCAGGAGGAGTTTGAACAGGCCTAGGGGAAAATGTAACACACCAACGGGGTAACTAGTAAGACACTCATCAGAGCTAGAATTACATAACCATTACTTGAGCTAAGCTTCCCCCCATCACGAATTCTAAATCTCATGGGCGGCGTACGTACATGTGTACTTACAGTTAACCTAAATGAAAACAAGCGGGAGCCATCTTTTCTAGATAAAAGGAACGGTCGAGCATACAAGAGAGTACATCACTCACATTCGAGGCCTCGTTGTTATGGAAAGATAACTTGCATGAGACTGAGAGATGTCAAATCCCGATGAGGAAGACTGTGGCCTTTGCACTTCAGACGTACTATCATTGAAACAAAATCAAAACATAAGTTGGGACTTCGTAGACCATCCTGGTTTCGAATCACAATCAATCATGCCCGGATATGTGTTTGTACTTTGGCATTCTAACTGATGGATGATGACTGCTCACGAAACCAGGAGTTCCATAACCCAACAACGGGAACTGCACGCTGTCCATTGGTGGAGGACCCCTGAAATGGTAACCAATTGCCATGAGCACAGTTTGATCCATGGGAACGCAATTGGATTTATCACTAACCTCAATTTGATCCCAAAAAAAAAACACTAATTTCATGCTCTAACCAATGATGACAAGCTACCTTTTGACCCAACCAGGTAACTTCTCATGTGAGCTGGCCGAAGCATAAGCTAAAACTTAAAATCTTTTTCCAGTAAAGTAACCGTTCTTGAAACTAGGCCAACATTCAAACAATGCCAATTCCAAATTGAAGTCTGAAACTGCTGACACCCAAATAAGCAAGTATCAATAGTCCCTTTAGAGAACCCTAAACCCAAAGACAACTGTAATCCTAAAGGGTTTCATTTGCATTAAAGCAATAAAAAAAATTCTTCAAGAACTACAAGAAAAGGGAATAATATACCATGGAGATCGAGGACGACCAGGTTGAGGTATTGCCGGTGCCTGAGATGATGCCGGAGCACCGAACGGTAACAGTTTGGTACCTTGGCTTTGGGGACCCGCATCCTTCCCAAACGCGAACGCCATCCTTCTTCTTCACCGTAAACCTTCGCCTGTTCCCTTTTCAGCTCCTAATTCATATATATGAATGAAAGCTGCTTCCTTTCTGGTCCAAACCTTGAGCTTTTCAGCTTCAGACGCGCTTCTTAGTCGATAAATCTTCTCTACCCATCAGGGGTTTTTGAATGAACTGATGCCCAGAGGCCAGAGATCCGAACTAGTGCTTGATTTAGAGAGAAAGGGGGGAAAAGATTGGCCGGGAAATCCCCCGGCGGCTTGGAGACGGTGAGAGAAATAGAACACGGTGACCCGGCCGTTTGTAACGACGACGCTTTAGTCTTAGTTTAGCCTATCCTTGACCCTTTCGGATTTGGTCTTTTTTGGGCCTGAAATAAGACATTCCTGTGTGTGGGCCGAATGTCTGGGCCTGAACTAGCAGCGTCTAGTTTACTGAGCCCGTAAAAACCCCATTGGACTTACCATAGAGCACATCAATTTTGTTCTCACACGCCCGGCCCGCCGGAGACGAGCACTGAAGCCGGAGAATGGAGAGAGCCATGGAGAATAGGGATGGCAATGGGTCGGGTTTGGGGCGGATTATACTAAACCCATCCTCGTACCCATTTTCAATTATCAAATCCATACCCTCCCCATACGGGAAGATTTTGCATCCCCATCCCCATCCCCGCGGGTTTCGGATACCCGAGGGTAATCCCTGCCCCGTACATCTTATTATGATTATAACTAAATTAACACACTTGAAGTCAACAAAACATATAACTATTGGGTTGAAACATCAAACCTAATCAATGATGAACCTAATAAAGAACCACTGAAAATCTTAATTAGATCATCCAATTCCTACTAAGTTCATAAACAAAGTACCAATAAGTAATCCAATACCAAATTATTCATCTCCAAAACACCTATTAAAGAATAAAAATCCACACATAAAAGTCAAGTTATCCTCCCAAGTAGGGTTAGAAACGTGTTAGCCTGTTAAGAGATTAGGATTGGTTTAACTAAGTGAAATTAATCTTTTAGTCCTTATTTTGTTTTACAATAACCCTTAAGTCTTTTTGGTACACTACAACGTAGTTATATTTTACAATTATAAGACATAAGTAATAACGGGGGCGGGGCAGATATGGGTATGGGGCGGGGGCACTCAAATCCATCCCCGCCCCATCCCCACAAAATTCTTTGCAGGTATTACCCGTACCCGCCCCATACCCAGTCAATGCGGGGATTCCCCTCGTTGACCGGGTTGGGTAGGATCAGATACCCACGGTTACGGCTATAATTGCCATCCCTAATGGAGAAGTCCGAAAATATCAAAATAATAAGGAACAGAACAGAAGAAGGAAGAATCCTCGCCGGCGCTTCACCAGAGCGACGCCGACAAGGAAGATGAGAGCGTCAAGCGGCTCAGAGAATGAACCCGAGACTTTTGTCGTGACAGTCTTGCTCCTCCGTCTACCTCTCCCAGCAGGTTGGCAAATTGCCCAAATGGTCCATCCACTGGATTCTGAGTTCTGACTCGGACGCTTCTAACAGGTAAACGATTAGCTCGTGAGATAAGATAATTATGAAACTTGCACGTTAAAATACGCAATAAAAAAAATCGAGTTATTTTTCCTTAAAAGACCTTCCATTCATTTCAACCAAAACGAGGACATGCTACAAGATTAAATATCAAAATTCAATCATGATGAATCGAATTTGATCGAGCTTTTTGGCTGCATTTCAGTAGAAACCAAGATTTTTCTCTGTTGTGCTCGTTGCCATCTTACTGTTTTTAGTCTGGTCTATCGAGCGATTCATGTCAAAATTTCCACCTCCGTATAGTACTGTAAAAAGAATCATTTTTCCCATACTCTTTCATGACCAAGATCTCAAATTCCTCGCCAGTTGAAGAGAGGTGCACACACACAGACAATCCTTAAGCATTCCCAAGTTTATGGAAGCACCAAAACTTGCAGCACAAGGCGGTGAACGCGGCTGGTGAAGCTCTTCCCTTCCAAAATCAAATCCGTACAATAAATCATCTGTGCTCCCATCCTCTACACAATCCAATGGATGGATGAATCCAGGACAGTGTTGAACTGTGAGGATGCATACACAACCGAGGAAAGTGCATTGCCAGTGCTTCTCTAGTGACCCATACCATTACCAACTGTGTAGATTTCGGCTTTGGGCACATCATCACTAACATTAACATGAGCACTTCAATTTAGTAGTAGGTTTGGACTACCTTGTACTGATTAGTGGACGAGCAGAATCAGAATGAGTACCCTGTCGAGTACTTTCCAGTGTTAGCCACTAGAATGGAGATGTACTCCCCCCAAGATTGGATTGCAAATGTGGACAAAGTCCCAGTCACCTTCTTCATTCCCTTGGCAGAGACTGATCAACCCTGGCAAGTTTACACCACGAGAGAACTCCTTGCTCTCTACCACCCAGAAGTCGATGTCGTCGCTAGGTGCTTGTTCCTGAATCGTTGAGAACCTGAGTCTGTTCATAGCTTGCGAACTATACCGACTGCACATTAAGATGCCAATGGCTGGAAACCTTGAAGGATGGAGTTTGATAAAGTTGGAATCGAAGATCAACTGAAGCCATCTTTTGCAGACGCATTTGCAGGAAGGAGAGGTTCCTCGTTGGCAGCCACGAGGATATCTCAATCAGCAAATCTTCCAAGTTTGACCATTCAATTCTAGCGCGCCAATTTTATCTATCAGCCCGGAGGAGAGGTTTTCCCCTGCTCCCACCTTTCTAGGGAAGAAAGATTCAAGATTTCTCATCCTTCTTCTGAAACACATATGATACGGCACCAAACTTGAAGATCAGCCAACTAACTAAGACAGGACAGTAAGTTATAGATGCAAATGCAATACCCAGCATTGAATGAAGTAAATGACAATGAAACGTCCCAGTGAGAACATGGCATCAAAGATGAAAAGAAGCATCAGACTAAAATTTGCTTGGAATAATGGCTTCACCTTAACAGTGAGTAAAGCAAACATTAGGTAACAGACAACAGATTCGAAATTAGTCAACCCAACCCAACATATTCTCCATTATTGCTTTTCACACGATTTCAATTTCAACAGGATGATCGCAGCTGCTTTCTGATCAGTTTGATTCATCAGACATACATTCCAGCATATTCCCACACCACAAGCTAAGATCAAACCTCATCAATTCCCAAAATCAAACTTGATAGAGACGCTGTTGACGCAGTGGCGTTCATCTGTTGGGGTCTTGAACCCTTCACCCTTGAAAACATGGCCCAAGTGCCCGCCACAAGCTGCACATGTGATCTCAGTTCTCCTCCCATCTGGGTCCGGCTGAAAAGCAACCATCTTTCCATTAATTGACTGCTACAGAGATGCTAACAAAAACAAGGGGGGAAAGGGTTTTGTAGGGGGAGAACTCACAGTGCGATGGATGGCTCCGGGGAGTCCCTCAAAGAAAGCCGGCCACCCACAGCCGGAATTGAACTTGGTGCCCGACTTGTAAAGAGGAGTGCCGCAGCCAGCGCATTTGTAGACTCCTTCCTCAAAGAACTTGTCGTATTCCCCCGTGGATTTCAACCTATTAAACAGCTAGATCAGCTTTGGAAAGTTTCCTTGTGGAAATTGCGCAATTGAATCGGAAGAGAGGTGAGGGAGGGAGGAGTTACTCGGTTCCCTTCTCGCGGAGGATTCTGAACTGCTCGGGAGAGAGAATCGCCCGCCATTCTTCGTCTGTTTTCTGGACTGAACCAGCGGCCGCCATCGCTCTAGCTGACTGAATTGAATAATACACAGAAGACGGATTTGCAACTGGATGCGAAGTTCTCAAATCTGGGGCGATCAGGAATACACAGAAGACGGTTTATGTATTCCTGGTCGCAGAATGTATATGGACGGGATACTGGAGGAATGCGAAGGCGGTCTCGGATCGGGGAATCTGGGCAAAAAGCCAAAAACAAGTTATGAAAGGATGCTTTGTTTGTTTCTTGTAGGGCTGGGAATCTTAGACCAAACTGTATGAGAAATCGCGGTTTAGACCGTGTGATACAGTTTGGTCTGAATCGTAAGATTAGAATTATGGTCTGATTTGGTTTGCGGTCTTCTCTTTTAGTGCGTGGTCTGAAGTGATCTGGACTGCGATCTATCGCAATAAATCGTAACAGATCGCGACACACTATATACTATCTCGGACAAAAATAGCACTAAATTGAACCTTCATATGTGTATTTGAAGAACAAAGTTAGTTGATTCTTCATCTAGTTGAGAGCCAACAAATTGCCAAATGATCGCTTATATGTTATCTCCTTATCAAAGAACCACACAAAAATCAAAAAGACTCATAAATAATATTAATAGACAATGTCTAGACTATGGAGTCGATAAAAATTAAACACTAGAAAAAAATTCGTTCACCTTCATGAGATAAGGAAAATTATTGAGAGATATGCGACCATCTTAGTGGTTAAAACTTACTCGACGTCATCACATAGGTTATCAACCGGGAGAACCTTCGGATCACTCGAGAGAGGAGAGAAGCGGTAGTACAAAGAGGAATAGGGAAACAAGGCTATTTGATGTGTGTGTGTGTTTGAAAATTGAAAAAACCCACTTTTATCCTCATATTTCTTCTCATTTAATTACGATCACAAATTTTTTGTTTCACTAGCATATTGGTCACTAGATTTTTTTTATAGATACCGACGAAGGGTTGGAGGGCGAACAAGAGTTAATTTTTTTTGCAACATGGTATGTCTGGTCCAGAACGTACCGGAGCGCACTGCACAGGTGTGGACTTGTTTGGACCGTATAGTATATGGTCTGATCCATGGTCTGTGTTCCAACCTCTCGGTCTGGACCACAAACTATATCTATGGTCTGGTCTGGACCAGACCACACCATTTCCCACCCCTAGTTTCTTATATTGGTGATCTAATGCTTCTGATCTACAAACTATATAAAGGCAAAACATGGGTTGGAATTGTCCCATTTCAAATTTCGTGGCATGCGAGTAATTCTAGGAATGTCATTTTTGTCATTGCACACAAATAATCTTTATATATTAAAATTGTTATCATTGGAGTTCGAACCATGGTAACTTAATAAATGAAGAAAGATCATTATAACCAACTAGGATATATTGTATTATTGTTATCTCTTTGATTAAACTCTAGAAATATGTTTGGTGATGATGCTTCTATATTTATGTTTTATCTTAATTTATTTATATTTTAAAGAGAGATGTTAGTTCTAAATCGAAACTCAAGTAACATTGATTCAAATATTAATATTAAATTATAAACACAGTTTAGTTTAGACAAAATACAAAAGTATATTTTACTCTCTATAATAATTAATTTAATCTTAATATTTGTGATGTTTGAAATATTTTATATATGATTTAGAGGTATACTTATTAATTTGTGACATCAATGGTAGTTGGTTCAAATGTAGTATTACATGTAGTCAAAATATAATATTGGGTGCATTTATGATTTATTTATTTATTTATTTTGGTATTGTGAATAGGTAGAAACTTAAGTATTACAATGAATATATGATATAACTATACCTAGGCACATGGTCGAGCTAGCACGATACAGTTAGCGCATACCATGAGTACAATATATATGGATCGGCCATGTACAAGCATGAATGTTTCATGAGTCCTACCAGACTTAAACTTCAAGGGCTCACGCACAATTGCGAGCCACACAGTTTATATTGGTGAACTCATATTTTATGGACAAATGCGTCATTTGATAAAAATAAAACAAAATATTCTAAAGATAACATATAAATTTTGAATTAATGAGTAGATTTTCACATCAACGTGTGACAACTCATATTCTAAAAGGTTTATAAAAACATTCATTGTTTGTTTTGAGATTCAAACTTTTACAATGTATACAACTAAACACTCATTTATAAAATAATTCTTGATTCACTTCATAGCTGAAAAGTCTTTTGTACAACTTGCAGTAATAACAAACAACGTTAACAATAACTTTAGAAACAAGTAAAGTGAAGAAGAAATTTAGATTTAGTATCACTTTGCAAATGTTTGTGTGTTTGAGCCTTTGAGGGAAGGAAAAAAAATTTTGGTCTAAAAGATTTGAAGAAGGGGTTGAAACTAGGAACGGATCAGACCAGTAACTCTATGGTCAGTAACCATGAGTAACCTGTCCACATCAGCATGACATTAGTATCCTGTCTTTCTTGGAAAGTCTTTTATCTTTTCCCCTTTAATCTTTAATGGACGATTTCTCTCTCGTTTTAAGTCGAAATTTAATTTTTTTGCATAGATAAATCAGATTAAATGTGCTCTTTAAAATGATATCCACTTTGATATATTTTTAGTACAAAAAATTCGAATAATTCTTTACCAGTCATTACCATATGGTATGCTCCTATTTAATACCATATGCTAAGAAAGCGTACCATGATAGTAAAAACGTACCAATATGGTAAGAAGGTTGAATACATGATAGTAGGAGTATACTAACTATCATTTACGACTTTCATCATTGTTTACTACAAGTGACCACAAGTTACCACCCACATACCATAGTGGTAAAGTATGGTAATCTTTGATCCAATATTTTTTTCACCCATAAATTTATAGATCCAATAGATCATGATGAACTCGTTCCTTCTAAGCAAACGTTTTAAAAAACGACTTAAAAACGAAGAAGTTACCATATGATATGTAGTTGGTAAAAAAAAGTTTCTCGAAATATATTGAAAATTGATCTCAGTTTGTAGAGCACAACGAACTCGTTCCATCTGTGCAAAAAAAAATTGAAATCCGAGTTAGAACGAAGAAGATATGAGCCGATTAAGAAAACTAGAAAAAATAAAATGTTTTTAATTGACAACCCTTAGATCTGAATTTTCTAGACCCACTTAGATCTAAGACCAACTTTAGTGGTGGGCTGTAATTCCAAAAAATTGGACGAGACTCACTTTAGTAAGGTTCCAAAAGGCCAAAAGTTCCTATTGATAAAAAAAATTGGGTCCAAATTTGGCCTAGAAAAGCACAAAAAGTTCCAAAAGATAGTGTGGCCACATGGGGGAAAAGCAGACGGGCCCACCTGCCAAAAAGAGCTTTAATAATAATAAAAAAGAAACAACTTTACCTTTTAGTACTCACAATCTCCTCCAACGGCTCTTTCGGTCCAAACAAGAGATCGTCATTAATTAAGTCATATTTACAAATAATTTTTTTTGGTCGGAATTCAAAAAAAAAATTGTCGAAATGTTCGTCTTAATTAATTATTAGTACTATATATAAAATTAATGAACAAATTTGGTAATTAGAATGATGAAATATATACAAAACTGGATTATGAGTTAAAGCGCAAATCTGGAAATTTGGACTTTTGGAACACACTACTAATGCCAAAACACCTTTTGAGGGGCTAGAATTTGAATTATAATATCAAATTTTGGACTTTTGGATCTAACCACTAAAGATGGTCTAAAGATCCAGATTTAGTTACTCATAGGTCAGTAACCAATGTTTACTGACCCTATCCTAAGCCGTTGAAACTCATATATCATTTGTTCAAATATTGCATATTGAATTGTAGTATTGAACATTTAGAAGCGATATATAATTCTTAAATTAGTATTAATTTAAGCCCAGTTGACCAATAACCTTAAACCTCTTGCTAATCTGACATATTGCAACCAATAATCATAAGATGAGATTTAGTTTAATATGTTGGTTCAAAACCATTTTTTATGTGTAATGAATTTGTACAACAAATACATGTAAATAAGTGAAGATGAACATGATTATGCATTTTGATTCTATAGATAACTAAAATGTTTTAAGATATAAACTAATTATACACTCACTCGATTGGTTTAACGAGTTTCATTTTTATCACTTTATTTAATTAGTTTATTCACATGCTATCAAACTACTTTGCTCCGACGAAGAATAAGCAATCATCTGTTCGCCAAATTTCAGGTGCTCTGATTCATAGTTTCGATTGTGAATGGAGAGGAAGCATTTCGAACGCAAAATTGGAGAACTAATTGGGATGTTTCTAGGTTTCTCTCGATTACAGACGATGGGAAGAACGAGCAAGGGAAATGGGGAGAGTAGTGAGATACAAAGCTTAGAGAGAGATGGAAGAACAAACGAAAAAAGAAAGAGAAAGGCATAGAGAGAGTGAGATGACACATTTAAAAGAGGGGGAAAATGAGGTAGTGTGAAACAATTGCTCTTCTGCTTTGCTTAGTGAGTATTGTTGGTATTATTCTGTTGAGTTTTGCTTTATTTTAAGAGATGACATTATATTATTCTTTCACATTGCTCAACTAACTATTGGTGACAACTTAGCATCATGCCCTATATACTTCAAATCAAACAACTTCAGATTAATTATCAACGGTGTGGTAAAAATATGCTCTCTATTGGGAAAAACTTAAAAGGACATATTGAATTCTATGAGAGACATTTTCTTTCATCCAAATGGTTGATTATGTATGTATTATGAGAAACAACTCTAATATTCAACTACATGATTTAATTAAGTAATTAACGACGATTAGTTATATTTATTTCTTTTTTCATTCAATAATTATATGTGATATTTATATCATATTTTTTTCTCTTTTCATGGAGGTCTAAACACATTATGCATAGTTGGATCACTTTCAAAAATGTTAGGTGCATAACTAAGGTACAAAACACTCATTTCATGCATTTTAAATTATCTATTATATCCATTACATATACCATATTTCTCGACAAAATTTTTCCGACCAATGGGACGGACCCTATGCTAGTGACCCGTGATGGGATGTCTTGAGGCGGAACTTGGACCCTTTCATTCGGTAATGGGCCGGATCAAATTTCTTTGGGCCCAACTTTGCTTCCCGCCAATTTTCTAGCCCGTTTTGTGTTTGTTGTATCGGATAGCAAAATAACTCATTACCATGGTTGGATTTTTAATCTATATTATTTTTGGTTGGATTTTCCCCGAACATGACAAGAAATGTAAGAGTTTCATGCTATTTTAGTTTTTTAAGTATTTGCACCAAATCCACCCAAATATGTGTTGTATCTGTGATCTATACAGACTCACTTTAAAACTTAGGTCATCCATATCTCTCAAATCAAATTAAATTAAAATTAAATGATCTTTTAGTCCTCAAATCTTGCTACTTTTATATCCGTTTTACAAACAACATGACAAAGAAACTCAATTGACATTGACTTTCTAAGAAAAAATGTAGATTATATCAAGAATTTCATATATAATTGTTCGAGGATGGTGCAAGTGAGTTTTCTCCAAATCGAATACTAATTGATTTTGGTATGTCATACAACATTTCCGCACAACTTTGATTAGGAGATGATTATAATTTTAAAACTGTGATTCGAAAATGGTATATATGAAAACCGGCTCCACCGAACCCCTAGTCAACTGGTCATTACTGGTTTGTACTTTTCTGAAAGTTGGGAAATTGTTCTCAAAATCCTACTCTCTCACACTCCCATAGCGGGTCAGATCCAGTCTTTAAACCACATTTCTTAAGGAGGATCTTAAACCCTTTCCAACCAATAGAAGGAGGAGAGAGATAATTATTATTAATCATTGGCTAACTACCTACAAGAACAAAAAGGGAATATAATTACTAATTAATGTCATTATTAATTAAAAGAAAAACCATCTCTCCTAAATTCGGAAATTATTTATGGAAATTAATAAAATCGAAATTGATATTTATTCTTTTAAAAAGGGAATTTTAAAATAAAAAATGTCCACTTCCCCTTTCTATAGCGACTTGCAATATCATTATTAATATTTACAATGGTATTATTAACATCTATGAAATGTATTATTAATTATTATATATATATTCGCATTATTATTATTGATTTCAATATATTTATCAATACTTTAATATTATAAACATTTACGTAAAAAATTGATAATGACACTCTTAATCATGAATAACTATGTTGTGTTGGTGTTGAAAATACAAGCAAAATCATTGATAATACCATTTCACATAATATTAATAATTATCTTTTCAAAATATTGATAACGATATAAAAACTATTGATAGCCCGTTTCATTTAAAAAGAAAACAAAATAATTGATAATGATCATATCTAATGGCGGTTAATTATATTACATATTATTAATAATTCTTTCTCAACTATTGATACACTTATATATAAAAAAATTGAATTTCATTAAAAACCATCACAAAAACATTAATAAAATTCATATTCGATCATAAGTGTCAAATATCATTTAAAATGTTACAAAAATATCATACTCTATTCAAACCAAGACAAAAACGTTAAAAATGATTTTATATATATATTTTCGAGTGATATCAAGAGAGGACAAGGGTTGTACAAATAAAATTATCCAGAACCCCCTACAAGCGACACCATAGTGAAACCCCCCTAAAAATGTTAAAAATGATTGGCTCCAACTGTTAGCAACGATTTAAGATCTATTTTAAACTTTTTACATTTTTGCATCAACACTTATGAAGGAATTATTCAAATTATGTCAAATTATTATTAATGATTTTAATAACATTATCATTAATTTATAACATCTTTATTAAAGATTCATGTTTTTATATCATTTTCATAACTAGCCAATCATGGCTTCTTGCCATAACTTTGAATAACATTATTAACATTTTATGATCAATTATTACCAATTCACATTGTTGTTCGCCAAATTTATGAAGTTAATTTTTATTGATATGTCTCATCATTGTTAACGATTTCAATATACCCGTGAATGGTTCAGAATAACATTATCAAAGATTTCTCATCAATTTTTAACGTAAATCTCACCTTATTCATAATAACATATAAATCGATAAACATAAAAAGATCATATACGCAACAACATGTGTATAAATCAATAAATATAGGGAGACTATATGTACACAAATGAGGTTGTGGTTTGAGCTGCTATGGACAACATTGAAAGAGCCAAAGAGGTGCCCACGTCGTCACTGTGGAGTTCGCCAACCTCTTCTCTTTGGCCATTCTCACGATGGCTGAGATCAAGAGTAGCAAAAGCAACTTATATCATCGTCGGTGTTTTGTATGTCAAAGTTCATGCTGGATCTTGAGGCTGTCGGACTTGCGGCGGCGGAATAGAAGTGCTCTCGATCGAATCGGTGGCGCTCCGGAATGATAACCGGTGAAAATTATGCTAAACTAAAATGACGAAAGTATTTTAGGAAGCGAGGTATGCGCCGTGAAATTTAATTGTTCTCTTAATTAATTATTAAATTTTTAATATTCTAATTATTCTTAACTATCTATTAACTACTAACTCCCTATTAATTACCTAAATTGTTACTAGCCAATAGGAACAACTTAAAATAATTCTTAAGTTTTTAGCCTTAACCATTAAGGACCTGAACTTATCCCCTCCCCCAGTCAGAACTCAGAATGTCCATAGACAAATAAAACGATTGCTCTGTAAGCACTACTTTGCGAGAAAAATGGATCAGCCAAGCTAATCATTACTATAATCCGACATGTCGTATTTTATGTTTGCTCAGTAAGCTTTTGTTGGGTTCTGCTGTCTCATGTTCATGGACACAGAGCACATGCAAGAAGCTACAGATGGCCGCATGGGCGGCTGGATTAACCATGGCTAAGGCTAAGTCAACTCACGAACTAAAACAAGCTTCATTCTGAAACTTTAACAGTTGACCTTACAATTAAGCTTTTAAATCTCCCACTCCTGATCCAAATTCCAAAGCTTCCCGTACACCCGACCAAAAAAAAAAAAAAAAAAACAAAACAAAAATGGCGGAATGGCAGAGCTCCGCCGCCGTGTCTTTGCTCCTTCTCCTCCTCTCAGCCTTCATTCCGCCGGCGGCCTCGGAAGCAGCCGGCGGACTCCTCAGATGGGCTTCCACGCTCCACAACCTCCCCCAATCCAACATCTCCACCTGGCCGCGTGCCGCGGCCAACGGCAGCCCCTGCAATTTCGTCGGCGTCTCCTGCTCCGCCGCCGGCGATGTCGTCCGATTAAACCTGACCAACTCCGGCCTCAACGGCACCCTCCAAGCATTCCCCTTTTCCTCCCTCCCCAATCTAACCCACTTGGAGCTCAGCGTGAACCTGTTAACCGGCTCGATCCCGCCCGAAATCGGCCTCCTCGCCAACCTGATCGACCTCGATTTCTCCCTCAACCAGCTCTCAGGCCCCATCCCGTCCGAGATCGGCCGCCTCACGAACCTCCAAGTCCTCCACATTGTCGAAAACAAGCTCACCGGGCCAATCCCGGACGAAATCGGTCGGCTCGAGTCGATAACCGAGCTCGCACTCTACGAAAACCGCCTCACCGGTCCGATCCCTTCGTCAATTGGAAACCTCACCAAATTAGCTCGGCTATATCTCTACAGCAACGAGCTAACCGGTTCGATCCCACCCGAAATCGGCCACCTCTCCACCGCTCTAACCGAACTGTTCATCGATACGAATCAACTGTCCGGTCCGATCCCAGCCAGTTTCGGAAACCTGACCAAACTAACCACATTTTTCATCTTCGACAACAACCTCTCCGGCGCCATCCCCGATGAGATCGGAAACCTCGAATCCCTCCAATACCTCAGTCTCCATACCAACAACTTATCCGGTTCAATCCCGCCGTCTCTCACCCGGTTGAACTCCCTCATTCTCCTCCATCTCTACTCCAACCGTCTCTCCGGCCCGATCCCGCCGGGGATCGGCAACCTAGACTCCCTCGCCGATTTAGAGCTCAGCGACAATCGACTCACCGGTACCGTCCCGGCTTCAATTGGGAACTTGCAGAATCTGGAGATCCTGTTTCTCCGGGTGAACAATCTATCCGGTTCAATTCCTGATTCTATAACGAATCTCACCAAGCTTACAGTTCTTCAGCTCGACTCCAACAACTTCACCGGCCGTCTCCCGGAGACCCTCTGCGGTGGAATCCAAAATCTCACGGTCCATTCCAACAACTTCAGCGGCTCAGTCCCCAGAAGCTTCGAGAACTGCACCACTTTCATCCGGGTTCGATTGGAAGACAATCAATTCACCGGCAACATTTCCGAGGATTTCGGAATCTACCCGAATTTGCAGTACCTCGATCTCAGCCGGAACAATTTCCACGGCGAGGTCTCGCCGTCGAAATGGGTTTCCTGTCCGAATCTAGCTACTCTGCGGATATCAGGAAACAGAGTCACAGGCGAAATCCCGGGGCAGATCGGTAATCACCCTAAGCTTCAAGCTCTTGATCTTTCTTCCAACCAATTAGTTGGCCAAATACCCTTAGAGCTCGCCAATCTGACCTCTCTGGTCAAGCTGCAGCTCTCCGGGAACCAACTCTCGGGGCCGATTCCTCTCGAAATAAGGTCGTTGACGAAGCTCGATTCGCTCGAACTCGCCTCGAATCGACTCAACGAGTCGATTCCAGGGAGTTTGGGAGAGCTGACGCAGCTCAACGACTTGAACTTGAGCAACAACCAGTTCGGTGACCGGATTCCTGAGCAATTGGGGAGGTTGGTTCATCTGTCGACTCTCGATTTGAGCCGAAACTCGCTCACCGGCACAATTCCATCACAGCTTACCTCCTTGAGCAGCTTGGAGTTCCTCAACCTCTCGCGAAATTCACTCTCTGGATCAATTCCCAATGGTTTTGCCCAAATTCCATTGCATACGGTGGATATATCCCACAACAGATTGCAGGGTCCCCTGCCGAGAAGCCCTGCGTTTCGAAACGCGTCAATGGAAGAACTAGAGGGGAACGATGGACTATGTGGAGGAAGTAATGTTGTACAACCCTGCAACGCAACAGACAACGGTCCAACCAAGAAGAGGAATCTGCGGAGATTCCTGTTCTTGGTCATTTTCTTCCCGGTTCTAGGAGTAGTACTCCTGCTTGTGTTCAGCTGGGCGATGTTCTTCCTGTACAGCAGAAACCCACGAGGCCAGCAGGATCACGAACAGCAGGTCCTGCTCGCACCGGGGTTCGACACGAAAATCATGTACTCGGATATCGTGACAGCCACAGACCGATTCGATCCTGCACACTGCATAGGCAGAGGAGGGTACGGTACGGTGTACAGAGCAACCCTGCCTTCGGGCATCATCGTGGCGGTGAAGAAGCTGAATTGTTCCGACGACAGCAGCGAGGACGACGAATCACACAAGGAGTTTCTCAGAGAGGTAGAAGCGCTGGCGGAGATAAGGCACCGGAACATCGTGAAGCTGTATGGGTTCTGCTCTCAGTCTAATCACTCTTTCCTTGTCTACGAGTATCTGGACAGAGGAAGCCTGGCCTCAGTTTTGAGCCAGGACAACTCGGGAGCTCGAGAGCTTGATTGGGGGAAGAGATTGAACATTGTGAGGGGCGTGGCGCATGCTCTGTCTTACCTGCACCATGATTGTGCCATCCCGATCGTTCATCGAGATATTACGAGCAACAATGTGTTGCTGGATCGTGATTACGAGGCCAAAGTTGCGGATTTTGGGACTGCCAAGCTTCTCAGCTCGGATAGCTCCAACTGGACTACACAGGCGGGGACTCGTGGCTACATTGCTCCAGGTACGACTTTGATAAAACCGAATTCATATACACAATGAATCAAAGGTAAAATAAGATTCGTCTAGTGGTACTATTACTGGTTTTGAATCTAGAGGTCACAAGAACGTATCCCTTAATTGACACCTAAATGTATTTGGTTTACGCGACAGAGTTGGCATACACCATGAGAGTGACGGAGAAGTGCGATGTGTACAGTTTTGGAGTGGTGGCGCTGGAAGTGATTAGAGGGAGCCATCCAGGGGAACTTGTGTTGTCATTGGCATCTTCTACGGAGGAGGAGGCGGCGGCGGTGGTGTCGTTGGATGATCTGCTAGACCGGCGGCTCGCACGGCCTGTGCCTGGATTCCGGCAAGAGCTAGAGAACGTTGTGAGGATTGCAGCGTTGTGTTTGAATGTTGATCCACAGTTTAGGCCGGAGATGAGGTTGGTTTGTGAGATGCTGTCCAAGGGACATAAAAGAAAGGTGACATGGGGTAGGCATTAGTAGTCACTCAGGCGGCACTAGAAAATAATTGTATGTTGTATTTGATCTCACAACAATCGTTTAATAAAGAATGATAGGTTAAGATTGTGTGATTGATTGATGAAATTGGGTGAAAAAATAAATTTGTGAATGAATAGAAATTAATTTGTGATTAGTATACAAACTTGGGTGAAAAAGTATAATATGTATAGAAATAATTTTTTTTAATGGGAATCTAAAATTTCATTAAGCTCAGGCAAAAGCCTCTCAAAAAACTGTCAAATACAAAAAAGCTAAATAGCTTCTATAACTATAAGTAAGTAAAACTTCTAACTATCTACAACATCAATGAAGACAAGAATTTTCTGGAATTCTGGATCTACATTCACCTTACATGTAACCTCACCACGCACAACACTACATAACTCCAATGGTGATCGAGCAGGCCTATCTCCATACAAACGTGAGCATCGTTCACGCCAAACCTAGCTGAGCACAACACACCAAAACAGTCGACACACTTTCGATTTAGCAGAGTTCCCTCCACCCCAATTCTGCACACACCAGTCAACCATTTGATCCCACTGCAAAAAAAGGAGGCGGAGCATACAATCTTAAACACTTCTTCAGCACAAAGTCAGTGTACGAGCATTGCCTCAGTAAATGAATTCTACTCTCTATTCCACTTGGACATAATAAACAGAGTCCAGATACCGATTTCCCCCATCTCAATAGCTTGTCTTGAGTTGTCAACCGATCCTGCATAGCAAGCCACACTATAAAACCATGTTGAGGTATTATCTCTTTTCCCCAAATTAATCTTGTCCAAGGCAACTCACGATCATGCTGCCTAATATCCTGCCATACTCTAGAAACTGAGTACCTCTCCATCTTTTCTCCATGCCACAGAACATCAGGTGCCATTCCAGAAATAAATTGTGCAGCCAAGTTTTCAAAATTCTTCTCCAGATCCACATCCCTGCAGAACTAGGAGCAACATCCCAAATGCTCTGCTCCTTCAAACGATACCGAGTTACCCAAGCAACCCAGAGAGAGCCCCCATTAGTTAGTATGTCTCAAATGTGTCTTAAAACACAAGCATTATTCCAGATTCCAAAATTCCTTATACCCAATCCACCTTCCAGTTTCGATTTTGCCAATAACTCCCAAGCCATTACAGCTTTCTTCCTTGTACCATCCTCACCAGAATTCCAGAGAAACACATTACAAAGTCTCTCCGCTTCTTTAATCTCATATTGAGGCAGCAAAAACAGATTTAGCCAATATTGCAAAGTACCAGTAATGACTGAGGATACCGGCTGAATCCTTCCAGCATAGCTAAGTGATTTAGTTCTCCAGCTCCTCAATTTCTGGGTTATTCGATCAATTAAGACTTGACAATCTCTACGAGAGAGCTTATCCGTAAGCAAGGGAACTCCTAAATACTTCACAGGTAAAGTCCCAAGTGGAAACTCAGAGTATGCTGAAATACTTTCTTTCTCCTCTTGTGGGATCCTAGCACAAAACCGTTGCCATTTGGCAGCGTTGCATCTTAGCCCAGAAACAGAATAGAACTTATCCATCAAACGTCTAATTCCAGCAACTCCTCGAATGGAACCATTGGTAAACATCACCAAGTCATCAGCAAAACATACATGGGTTATATGAAGTGGTTTGCACCTTGGATGGAAGGGTACTTGATTGTCAGCCACATCCTTCTTTACTAAACAATCCAGAAATTCCATAGCAATGACAAACAGATAAGGGGACAGAGGGTCCCCTTGCTTGAGACCTTTTCTAGCCGAGATTCTACCACACAATCCACCATTCACAGCCACTCTAATCAAAGGAGTAGTAATACATGCTCTAATCAATTTCATATAACCATCAGGGAAATTCATAGCAGTCATCAACTTGAACAAAAATTCCCAATCCACTAAGTCAAACGCCTTCACGAGATCAATCTTTACAACACATCTGGGAGTAATTACTTTTTATTATGGTAATCCCTCACTAACTCAGAAACCAATAAGATATTATCACTAATGGCCCTCCCTTTCACAAAAGCAGACTGAGATTTGCTAATCAGTTTAGGTAAAACTCTTGCCAACCTATTTGCTAACAACTTAGAAATTCCTTTGTACAGAACATTGCAGCAGGAAATAGGTCTATAGTCTTTCATGTGTTCAGCACTAGGAATCTTAGCAACTAGAGCAAATATGGTTGAATTCACAATGGAAGCTAAATGACCAGTAGAGAAGAATTTCAAGATTACCTCTTCAACATCTTTCCCAATAATATCCCAATGAGCATTGTAGAATTCCACTGGAAAACCTTCAGGTCCAGGTGCTTTACCCTTCCCCATATCAGAAAACACTTTCCTTATTTCCATCCTTGTAATCCCCTGCATAAGTTCTTCTCCATCTTCAGTACTCAATCTATGCTGGATGAGACCTTGAAAATGTAACACCCTACCCTGTACGTTTTGCCTAATCATATTGTTCATACATTTGTAGCAGAAATAATCTCGGGTGTTACATTAATTATCACAATTTACCCAAATAAATTTTCGACATGAATTACTCGCGTAATGGGCTAACAGTTCTTGCAACTAGACCTGCAAAATAATTCATTCGAATCCCTACATTCATAGACATACATATATACTCACAACCATGTACATTGGCTTTCATAGCTATAGTCACACTTTCGTACTCTGCAACTACATACCATACTTATACATGTCATAATCGTCACAACTTACACCACCACACACATATACACATATAATCAACTTTCTACACCTGTGGATATCTCACACTACATCAAAAGCTAGTATGCACATGAAAGTGTTCTCAAAATATTTTTACAAAAAGGTGTGGATCACTGGCCAAAATCCCGAGTAGTAGTCCAAGCACAGAATAGTTGAAGACCATACCTCATCTTGGCTTCAACTCAAACTCTCAGCTCCCACCTATACACCTATCTACTACTGATGATGATGATCTGCTTACACATAGGATAAGCAGAGAAAAAGGATAAAGAGGGTCAGCTCATAGCTGAGTGAGATAATCATAGCATCGTGAGTTCATAACAGAGCATAACCCTACCATACATCTAGCAAACAAGCCAAAACACTAGGATCAGATCTCAGCCCTCCGACATCCCAATAGGCAAAAGACTCAACCACCTTGACTTATGCATATGCATCTTATCATGTTTTAATCATAGGCGCCTGGCTACTCCCATGCTAATAACTCTCCCGGGAAACATACCCCACATCCCGTCGGATGTAGTCATACATACCCCAACATCCCGTCGGATGTGGTCATACATACCCCACACCACTATGGGTGTAGTCATACCCCGACAACGCTCTGGGTGTGGTCATATCTCGTAAGAATTCTTCAGTCACCACCACATGAGAGGTGTGACTATCATACATATCATAATAGAGTAATAGCATAGGGAGCCCTAATTACTCATATTTGGTATCCTTATACATGATTCATATCTCATCTTGCTTAATCATAATTCATTACTTGCACATGTACTTGACCTGCCCATAATTGGCTCAACATAGGTAAATCAGGAGTCGTATAATTGCACTTCCTCGGGATAAACCCTCGTGCAAGTCATCCTCCTTAAAAATCATAATATCACCAGGGAATATATATTTGGACTTAATCCGGCTTCCGGACCTTCTAAAGCCCTAATCCCTACGATTGGAGAATCAAGAATTTATTGGCCGAAAACTCGGTTATAAGCCAAGAAAACGATGACTAAGCTACACAGAAGGATTACCTAATGAAAGCTCGAATTTTGGATCACTAGAACCAGAGGATCAAGCTCGTCGATTTCCTCCGTACGTTCCTGTTCTTGCTCTCTGTTCTTTGGTTTATGGAATTGAGACAATGGAACCGGAGGAAAAAAAGAAAGACTCATATATATAAATGAAATGGTTGGCAGTGCAATCCTATACTGCTTCACTATATTAAATTTTGCTTGGTTTGCTTACTTTTTCTTTTCATCAGACACGTAACTAGTGTGTAGAGATATATATAAATATATATATATATAATATAATTAATACGTATACTTATCCGATCGATCGAGAATCCGATTTTCGCTGAAATACTATCAAAACGATCAATTTTAAATCGTGAAATTATCTAGCGACCGAAATACGGGTTTTGCCAGAATGGGATGTTACAGAAAATATTCTACTAGAAGCTGCTGAACATTTGGATCCACTGAACCAATCAGTTTCGAATAGAAATCCACCGCAATTGACCATATCCCTAGCACATCAGTCACCATGTTATTTTGAGAGTCATACAATCTTGTTATCTGTTGCTTCTGATTTCTGATTTTAACAGACTTGTGAAAGAAAGAAGTCGCCTACTTGTATATGCTGAATTCGAGATTTATGTTTAAAAAACAACTCCTCAGCCTTTCTCAACTCATGACAAGCTAAATTTGCCCTCTGTTCTTCCTCAACAAGATGTGGAGAAGGATCTTTCAAAACAGCACACTGAGCAATAATTGTATGTTGCCTATACTTTTTATTTATACTATTTGTGGTCAACGTTTAGGGTTACATGTATAATTCGTTTTTCTACTATGTAATTTTGTAAAAAAAAGTTCTACTATTTTTTACATAAGTAGAAAGTAGAAACATTATCAAACATGTCTCTATGTTAAAGTTCTGTGAAAAAGCTGTTAACCACGGTCGAACAGTGATTTGGCCGATATAAATGTCTAAAATACCTCTAAGAATTCCACGTCAACATCACATGTTCCTTATGTATAGCCTAATACCCCTAATAATTTTACTTTAGTGGGACATACAAAAATAAACAGGGCACCAAAACTAACATTTCCCCTTCTATTTCGCTGAGGTAGGGTCATCTAAACCACTGTTCGGTCATGGTTGCCAGTTTTTGGATGAAAATTTTACCAGAATGGTAGTTCGATAATGTTTCTAAAGTGGGTATGTTTGATAAAAAAATAGTAAAAGAGCACATTTGTTCAAACACACATAGTACACGACATATTATACTTATAACCCAATTAAGTTCCTTGAATTTAGAAGTGAAGGCAAACGGAATAAAACTAGAGATGACAATGGTTCAGACTAGGTCGAGTTTATCTCAAAACCAACACACCGGATGCACACATTAAAAAAAACTCGGTAAAATATTCGTTGGGTTTTAGAAGTGAATACACGACTCAATCCTTCCCTCTTTTTGGACTGGACTCTCACAAAAATTGGGCTTCATCATGAGCCTCGTCGTCGTCGATATTACTAGTACAAATACTTAAAGCTGATCAAACAAAGATGGTATTGTTTACGAAGGAAATAAAGGGCTAGTTTGACCCTGCTGTAGCTTTTAAAGAAGCAGCTTCTGGCTGGTGCTTTTGGAAAAGTACTTTTAAAAAAAAGTTGTCGAGTGTTTGGCTGAAATAAAATTTATAAATAGTAAAAAGTAGTTAATATGGATTTTGTTAGATTTCTTTTATACTAAATAATATTATTTTATAATTTATTTTATTTTTTAAATGATATTAATGAGAGAAAATTATTTTTTCTAAAATATAATTAAAATATGATAAGGATAATCTTGTATTTTCAAAACAGCTTTTCACAGAAGTTCCAAATCGGAGCTTCTGCTTTTATGTTATACAAAAGTGTTTTTCAGCTTTTCAATAGACGAGCGTTTAGATGTGTTTGACCATGCTTCAGCTTTTCAATCCGAAAAACAAATCTAAAAGCCGGACCAAACATGGGCAAAGTGTGTATAACTATAGTTCCAAAGATATGGATTAAAAAGAATGGGTTGAATTAACGTTAATGTGTTTTTTTTCCTTACGGAAACTTTAATGTGTTAGTAGTAAATTCCAACCTAATCACTTTTTATTAAAGGTAACACAAGGAAAAGGGAAAATTATGTTGTCCATTCCTTCCTCGGAGATAAGGGTGGGCAATGATGTGGTTGGACCACACGCAACGCAATCAATACAAATCGCACAGCACTGCACTGCATGCCGTTTGGACCTCACTACATAATAGACTGCAATTAATTGGTGCGGTCAAACCAAACTGTTTAACCAAACGATTTGACCGCACCGCATATTTGACCGCAATGTAATATAGACTTTGCATAACTGAATTACCAAGTTTGAATTCATTTTCTATACTCATGATCCTTAATGATAAGAAAATGAATTTTTAAGAATTGAGATCCTACATAATAAAGACTGATCTTATATATATATGAATAATTTTTCTAAGGACTTCAATCACTCGAAATTATTAAGGCCAACCAATTCTATAGGAAGTAGTAATATGAGGTTGCGTTACATCCTCACAGGCGACTACTGGGGTTCTTGTTCGTTCTTTAGCGATATGCTCTGTTTTTCACACCTTGGTATGTTCTGAGAAGTGAGAACAACTCAAGGAAGAAATCAAATAAACAGAGCTTTGTGATTATCAGGTAATCGGGCTAAGAATGCTGACCATGGAGTTTAGAACTGCAAACAATGGCAAAGTTGTCATGCAAATATTATATTTCTCAACAAAATTGACCATTATGTTGTCTCATCATTGTATCAAAATACTAGGGCCCTGCTGCACTTTGCCATGGCGGCCATTGCTTCTGATAATGCTATCTAGCATAAACCCGCTTGTTATAGTTTTGCATTGAGCGAGAACATAATATTTTAAATTTGATAATTTGAGTTTTGATCTAAAACTAAAGAGCTTGTAATCTACAACTCTATGCAAGAGAGAAGGCAAAGAGAAGAGGAAGGTCTTGAAGATCAGGTCCAAAGTTGCTCAGTATCTAACAGTCAGGCCTACAGGGGTGTATTGGGGAGACTGTGTGATGAATAAATTTTCAGTTAAAAAAGTCTGGGAAACATTGCGGGATAAGCATGAGACAGTGCAGTGGTTCCCTCTGCTTTGGAAGTCATATGGTACACCTAGAGACAAACTGCTAGTCTGGCTAATCATACTAGACAGAATTGCCACATTGGATAAGGTCCAAAGATGGAATAGTGCAGTGGTAAATCTGTGTCCACTATGCTCTTCTGCAGAGGAGTCCAGAGATCATCTTTTCTTTGGTTGTGTGTATTCTAAGAGTGTGATGAAAGCTATGTTTGCAGGAAGAGATGTGGTGGGGGTAACTTGGGAAGGTTCTCTGGCCAATGTTATATCAATTTTCAGGGGGAAAAACTCTGTGTCTGAGAGGGGTCGACTTCTTTGGGTAATGGCGGTGGCTGAACTATGGCGGGAACGATGCAGGCGAGTTATGTCTGGTGAGGCTCTGTTGGAAAATCAGCTGTTGAAGAAGTTGCAAGGACTGCTGCAACTACTCAGGCTTGGCTTCCCTCAGGTGGAGCTGGCTGTCTCTGAAGATTATGTTCATAATATTGTAGTGTAGTTCTTTGGTAGCAGTTGAGGGTTTATTTCTGTTTCTTGTTTTAGTTGGTTTAGTTGGATTATTGTTGTAAAACAGCGGTGCTACTTTGGTTCCAGTTGGGGGGTTTTTCTCTTTTGAGGAAGCCCTCCTTCTTGATGAATAAAATCTGCTTATTCATAAAAAAAAAAAAAAAGAGGCGGTTTGTGAATCGTGAGTGAGATTTGAGAGAGTGGGAGGGTGAGGAAGTTTAATCGTAACAAAACTCATATTTATATTAGGGTTTGAAAAGTATTGACTATATTATCCTTCTTTAATTTCTGATCGTAGGATTAATTTTTAATCTAATGGCTATAAATTTAGTTAGCATGGTACTAACCCCTCAAGGGATTAGCACCTAATCCTATTCCTACCAAAAACTCTACACACCGAGTTGAACTCGAATTGACTGGTTCGAACCGAGTTTTTAACAATTCACACTCAGCTCAACATGTCAATTCTAAAAACTCGCTCTCTACACAAAATTCGTCAACACCGGGTCTGGGTTCAATTGTCATTCTCAACCAAAGGGAAAAGGAGAAATAAAAAATATTAAAGCGGATGAAACTCGCTATCGATCAAAAACTCGTCAACACCGTGTTCAGCTCGCTTTGACCGGATCAAATCGAGTTTTTAGCAAATTCACATTCGACCCAACCTACCAACTATAAAATCATATAAAACTCGCTCTCGTTACAAAACTCGTCAATACCATGGGTTTGGGTTCAATTATCATTCTCAAGGAAAGGAAAAAATAGAAAATTAAAAATACTTCTTATCGGGTTCAAAGTCGCTTTGACCAGAACGAATTTATGTTGGATACCCATGAGTTTGAGTTCAATTGTCATGCTTAACTAAAAGGAAAACGAGAGATAAGAAAATCCTAAAGAATCTGAAACTCAGTCTCGATACAAAATTCGGCAACACAAAGCAGATTTGGTATGGATTTTCGATAGCAGTCTTGGGACACGATGGATGGGTACAATATAAGATTCCACCAAAAGTGTTTGGAGAAGGGTTTTGCATTATTGAGCGAATGCGAGGATTGTGTATAGTAGATAAGGTATGGATCTTCGATGACAGTCGTGGTAAACGGTTGAAGAGTACAAATTATGATTTCGTCGATGGGTAATTGTTGCAACAGGAAAGCAATGAACAATAGATGAAAATTTAAGTAGACAATTGATGAGACTACAATTTAATTATTTGATTAATTTGTTACTAGGCTTAGTGGGTTGTTTGAGTTGTTTAAGTGGTTCCTACTTTCTAGCAACGTGTGGTTGTATTATGGGTATTTAACTCCCAATCCTATCTAATGCAAATCACTACATTCTAGCATTCACATGGTATCAGAGTTGTAGCTCGATTCCTTAACCTAAAACCTAAACAAACACCACACGACTCCTTCTACCTCTTCTCTTTCCGCAACAATTCTATTCCCCTTTCCTTTCCTTTTCTCTTCCTCTTTTTCTTTCCCAACACGTATGGTGAAACAGTGATCAACCTTAATGACGAGAACACCATCATTACTCTCAATCCCGCTTCTCAACTCCCCACAAAACTGTGATAATTTTCCCCAGTGGCGTGCTCAGTTCCAAACGCTCCTCCGAGGGCCTGATCGCCTCAAATTTCTGGATCGTTCTCATCCCGTGCCGGCACCCACTACCGATGTCCTTGTTCGTAATAGTTGGTATCGAGAAGACCAACTCCTGCTTCATTCTATTCATGTGTCAGTTTCTCCTGGAGTATCCTTCTGCGTGGCCAACGCCACAACCTCTCGTGAAGCCTGGATGGTGCTTGAACGCATGTTTGTCAATCCCTCTTGTTCTTGAGTTATCTGTTTAAAAGTGAAACTTAATAAAGAGGCCCAGGGTACCCGCTCTGTCTCTGTTTACCTGCAGGCCATGAGGGCTACTGCTGCTGAATTGGCTATTATCCAAGCCCCTGTCACTAATGAAGATATGGTTCTTCACTGTCTACGTGGCCTACGTGAAGAGTTTGGTCCCATTGCTGCTGCTTTCCGTGCTCGTGACACCACCATCGCCTTGGAAGATCTTCATAATCGTCTTGTTGAATACGAGGCCGATCTAGCCAATGTTCGTGCCCAAGCGGTTGCTGCTCCCACAACGGCCTGCTCTACTTCTCATGGTCTTCATTCCCCACGTCGGCAATCTCCCCGTAAAAGAGGCAGTCCTCGCCGTCAGCCGCCAACAGTCTCTTTCCAGTATGACTTTTATCCTCGTTGCCAGCCACCAGTAGTTTCCTATCAGTGTGACTCCTATTCTCATGGACACCCTGGCTCTCATATTACTGCTGCCCCTCCATCCCTCCTCGGCCGACCACAACTTCAATGTCAATTCTGTGACAAACCAGGGCATACGGCGAAGGATTGTTATCGCATTCGCGGCTGACCTCAAATCCATTACACCTCTGTGGAGTCTTCATCCAATGGCGGTTTGTTAGTTGATTCAGCTGCTACTAATCATGTCACCCCAGATTTAGGCAACCTCTCGCTCTACACAGATTACAACGGGCCCGAAGAGGTCCTCGTCGGCGATGGGTCAGGTTTGACGATAACACATATTGGCACTTCCACCCTCCCTACTTCTGCCAATCATTTGTCTTTAAATGAAGTTTTATGTGTACCGGCTATCAAACGTCGCCTGCTTTCTATTGCCCAACTATGCAAGGCTAATCCTGTATCAGTGGATTTTTTCTGATTTTTTTGTTGTGAAGGATCTAGCCACGGGGGCACAACTGTTACGAGGACAGAATAAGGACAATGTCTATGACCTAGCCTTAACCACCACAAAGACCACTCCATCCACCTGGCACAATCGTCTTGGCCACCCAAACACCAAGCTCCTTTCTCGTATGATTCGTAAACAATCTCTACTTGTCACTCATTTATCTTCACCACTGTCGTGTGAGTCGTGTTCTCTTCATAAAAGTCACAAACTGCCATTTTCAGCCTCTACTTTATCTAGTGCCCGTCCGTTTGGTTTGTCATTCATGGATGTTTGGGGGGCCTTCCCCTGTTCTTTCTCATGTCAATTTCTCATATTATTTAGTCATTATTGATCATTATTCACGCTATACTTGGCTATATCCCTTATCTCGCAAATCTTATGTGCATTATGTATTCACTACCTTTAAAGCAATGATTGAAAACTATTTCCACACCACAATTCGACAGAATTTTAGTGGTGGTGGCGGAGAATTTCAAAAACTCTGCTCTTTCTTTCAAACACACAGAATTACCCATCTCCTCACCCCTCCCCATACCCCACTACACAACAGCTTGGCAAACGCAAACACTGTCACGTTGTTGAAACGAGCCTTGCCCTCCTCTACCCAGCCCACCTACCTCTCAGTTTTTGGTCTCATGCATTTCAAACTCACCTACCTCATCAATCGCCTTCCTTCTTCTTCTCTTCATGGTGAGTCTCTGTACTTCAATCTCTTCAACGACCACCCAAACTTACTCAAGCTCCGCACTTTCGGTTGTTTATACTATCCATGGCTTCGCCTCTATTACCCCCACAAATTAGCTCCTCGCTCACGTCGCTACATTTTCCTTGGCTACTCTCCCAATCAAAGTGCATATAAATGTTACGATCCCATCTCCACAAGCTATTCTTCTCTCGGCATGTCCAGTTTGAGGAAGCTTCCTTCCCTAGCCTTGCAAATCCAGTCGAGCCTCCCATTAATTCCAACACATGGGTAGCTACTGCCTCCCCTTCTCTTCGCCTATATCACCTTTCTTTTCCCATTCCACCTTCCTCATCTCCCGCAATGCTCACCCCTTTTCCCCATATGCCATCACGACAGCTCATTGATCATTCGCCCACCTCCAACAGTACCCCGCAAGCTACGTCCACACAACAACGCCCTCTACCACCGGCCCCAACCAAGGCCGTAGCTGCTACCTCCCATCGCATGACTACTCATAGTCAACATGGCATCTTCAAGCCGAAAAAGCTGTTTTCAGCTCAGGTATCGTCACTAACTATTACACCTACATCTCTCAAATGAGCTCTTGCAGATCCACGCTGGAATGACGCGATGAAAGCTGAGTTTGCTGCATTATTATCCAATTGTACGTGGACTCTTGTTCCTTGTACCCCATTTCAGAATATAGTCAGTTGTCGTTGGATTTATCGGATCAAGTATAATTTTGATGGGTCTCTCTCGCGCTTTAAGGACGGTTGGTGGCCAAGGGTTTCACTCAGTGACCAGGGATTGATTTCCATGATACATACAATCCAGTTCTCAAACCGGTCACTGTTCGTACCGTATTCAACATTGCCCTTACTCACTAATGGTCGATCTATCAATTCGATGTCAATAACGCCTTTCTGCAAGGTGATTTACAGGTTACAATTTTTATGGCTCAACATACCAACTTTGTGGATCCGACTCACCCTAATCATGTGTGTCGTCTCTTTCGGGCTATCTATGGTCTTCGCCAGGCTCCCCACTCTTGGTATTTGGCATTATGTTCTTTTCTTTTACAGGAAGGTTTTGTCAAAACCAAATTTGATGCCTCGCTCTTTGTCTATGCCAAGGATGGGATACTCCTCCACTTCCTTATTTATGTGGATGACCTCCTTTTAACTGGTAACCACGCGCCCACTCTCGCCTGGTTTCAAGACCGCCTTGCAGCCCGATTCTCTCTCAAACAGCTCGGTTCTGTCAATTATTTCCTTGAAATTGAGGTTCTTCCCATGCCATCCAGTTATATTCTTTCTCAACGACAATATGTAGCCGACATTCGGGCTCGCTTTGCTATGATCGATGCTCAACCGACCCCTACTCTGCTTGCTTCTACAGTTTTTCTCCTGCTCAATGATGGCTCCCCACCGGCGGATGCTACTCTCTACAAACAAGCTCTGGGCTACCTTCAATACCTGCTTTTTGCACGCGTCCGAACGTCACCTTCGCAGTCAATAAATTGTCACAATTCATGCATGTCCCGACCCAGCTTCACTGGCAGTGTGTGAAATGTCTACTGCGCTATCTCAAAGGAACATCACTGTTGGTTCTTTGTCTCACGCCTACTTCCTCTTTGACCCTAGTTGCTTTTGCAGATTCGGATTGGGTTGGAGATCCCAACGACCGCACTTCTACCATGGCCTACCTGATCTATTATGGTGGTAACCTGGTCTCCTGGCGTTCCAAAAAGAAACGCTCTGTAGCTCGCTCAAGCATTGAGGCAGAGTATCGTGCTTTGGTACATGCAGCGAATGAAGTCCTATGGGTTCAGAATCTCCTCCTCGAACTTCATCAACCCCCTACCGCTCCACCTGTCCTCTACTGCGACAATCTGGGTGCTGTCAACTTCTCCGCCAATCCAGTCTACCTCTCTCGACTGTTACCCTCACAGTTCGTCATATTCCTATAGCTCACCAGCTCGCCGACTCTCTCACGAAACCACTAGCCATCTCTCGTTTTCAACTGCTGCAATCAAAGATTGACGTCATCCCTGTCTCTATCTTGCGGGGGCGTGATGAGACTACTGTTTAATTATTTGATTAATCCGTTACTAGGCTTAGTGGGTTGTTTGAGTTGTTTAAGTGTTTCCTACTTTCTAGCAACGTGTGGTTGTATTATGGGTATTTAACTCCCAATCCTATCCATTGCAAATCACTACATTCTAGCATTCACAACAATAACTACTATGGGAAAACTAATGAACAATTGATGTAGACCCGACGGACAATAGATGAACACATATAATATAGAATAAGAGAGTGGGGTAAAAGAAGGACTTGAAACTTCCCTACTTGCACTTGGAGAAGTTTGAGAGCCACTAATAAATAGTAACCAAATGTTAGGCTTTTATCGTAGGATTAATTTTTAATATAATGGATATCAATTTAGTTAGCATGGTACTAACCCCTCAAGGGATTAGCACCTAATCTTATTCCTAACAAAAACTCTACATACCGAGTTGAACTCGAATTGACTGGTTCGAACCTAGTTTTTAACAATTCACACATAGCTCAACATGTCAATTCTAAAAACTCGCTCTCTACACAAAACTCGTCAACACCGAGTCCGGTTTCAATTTTCATTATCAACCAAAAGGAAAATGAGAAATAAAAAATATTAAAGCGGATAAAACTCGCTCTCGATCAAAAACTTGTCAACACCGTGTTTAGCTTGCTTTGACCGGGTCGAATCGAGTTTTTAGCAAATTCACACTCGACCCAACCTACCAAATACAAAATCATATAAAACTCGCTCTCCATACAAAACTCATCAATACCATGGGTTTGGGTTCAATTATCATTCTCAAGGAAACGAAAAAATAGAAATTTAAAAATACTTCTTATCGGGTTCAAAGTCGTTTGACGTGAACGAATTATGTTGGATACCCATGAGTTTGAGTTCAATTGTCATGCTTAACCAAAAGGAAGAAGAGAGATAAGAAAATACTAAAGAATATGAAACTCAGACTCGATATAAAATTCGACAACGCAAAGCAGATTTGGTATGGATTTTCGATAGCGGTCTTGGGACACGGTGGATGGGTACAATATAGGATTCAACCAAAGTGTTTGGATAAGGGTTGTGCATTATTGAGAGAATGCGAGGGTTGTGTATAGTAGATAAGGTATGGATCTTCGGTGACAGTCGTGGCAAATGGTTGAAGAGGACAACTTATGATTTCGTCGATGGGTAATTGTTGCAACAGGAAAGCAATGAACAATAGATGAAAACTTAAGTAGACAATAACTACTATGGGAAACCTAATGGACAATAGATGTAGACACGACGGACAATAGGTGAACACATAGATTATAGAATAAGAGAGTGGGGTACAAGAAGGACTTGAAACTTCTCTACTTGCACTTGGAGAAGTTTGAGAGCCACTAATAAATAGTAACCAAAGGTTAGACTTTTTATATATTAATAATTAATTAATTGCAACTGTAGCAATCGGGAAGCAGTAGTAGTTCCCAGAAGGCTAGCGAGCAGGAGATCATTGTAGTCGGACATGGATTCCGTCATTCCGCCGCCGATTACATGTAAGTAGTCCTCTTCTAAGTTTAGCAATATAATCATTTATTAGGCGGCCAATTATTTGCGGTTTGCAATCTTGAACCGCAACCGCTCAGTTTCGGATTAATCCGACACAAACCGCGAGCCGCTAAAAATTCAGACCGCATTCTTACGGAGTTTGGCCCAACCGCAAAAGCGGTGCGGTGAGGTTTAACCGCATCAATGCCCACACCTACTCGGAGAGAGAACATGAGGAATAATAACATAATTTATTTGTTTATTATGTTACTTTTACTTGTTCATCTACTATTTTTCGTCTAAAAATTGTTATGTATCAAATGTACCTTTTATTAGATTTAGTGATGGCAATGGGGGAGCGAGATGAGGCGGCTACCTCAATATCCATGCTCATCCTATACTAAGTTTGGGTCAGGTTGGGTAATACTCCTGCAGGTACGGGGCGGGTAGATCCATTCTTAAAGGTTATTTGAAAAAAACTTTGATATTTAACTTTTTTACGAGAACACAGAGGGAAAACACTTCATAGATGAATGCTAAATATAGTAGAAGGAATAATTAAGTCTAAATAATTGAAATATAATAGTGTTAAATTTGTTTGGGATGAATATATTATTATAGAAAGGTCAAAAGAGGAGAAATATATTGATGCAAATTATGATAGAACTGGGCGGGATGGGGTAGGTCGAAAGTAATACTCATGTCCCACCCCATGCTACTGCGGGTCAGGTAATACCCGCCCCAAACAGGTCGAGGCAAGTCAGGT